CATAACTTAAAAGGGCATAGCAGAGGACTGTACATATTAACAAATAACAAAAAGTATTTATCAATCCTTAGGCCACAGACTATATAATATAGACATATAAAATTGATTAGTATCCTAAATGTTAAAGACATAAATTTACAAGACAGGTAACCTAACACATACAGAGTGGCACCCCACACAGAACCCCAATAAATCATGAGGTACATGGCAGGACAGCACCCCAATCATGGCGCCCGTACCCCGTGGGGCACGCCGAAGAACAATGCCCTAGGCAGGGTGCCATGGGGGATAGTGAACGTTGCAGTGAAAAAAAATTGTTGAAAACAAGAATAACCTTCCAAAAAGGAATGGGAAAAAGGTTCTCCATCACCTGATGGAGGGGAAAGTTTATAAGTATATAACAGCAATATTAATACTGTGATTTAATGCATTTTGTCTTGTTAGGTGACCATTTTCCTAGGTTTTACATTTGGCTGGCTTTGAAAACCTTTGCAGGCTGCACTTTCAAGACCTGCCTGCCTCAGCCCGGCCCCAGAGCAGCAGTAAATTCTGCAAGACAGCGAAGAAAGTGAGGAGATTGCTTGTTGCCACAGCGGCTCATCACAGAGTTAATCAGCAGGACGGAGTCTCGGGGGGGCTCTGTGGATGCCAGGTGTGCTAAATTGGAAATCAAACGATTTAAATACAACCTTGTGGCGCCAGAGCTTCATTCCAATTTTCAGACGCTGGTTTTTGGAAAGCCTCCACCAGATTCTTCACTGAGTCACTGCTGTTGATCAATGGCGGGAGAGAAAAAAAGAGACAGAGGCAGCACAAAAAATTTCAGATTAAATGCCTTGACATTTTGGTGGGCGGCAATTGAGGGCAATAACAATGATGCAATATTTATTTCTGTCAGCTGAAAACAGAGATATGTGCATCCGCCTTACGGCCAAATGAATTAGGAAAGCCAACATGTTCATTATTCAGAGACTTACCAGGTGAGTGTAATGTTCCAATGAGTATTATTTATTAATACACTCCAGGAGAGTGGCTCTCTAGGAAATTTAATTTTTCTTATCTTAAAAATTAGAAAAAAAATATATTTGCAGATAAAGAGAATTGTTGTTTGGGGCAACAGGATTGGCTCACTAAACAACATTGTTCACTGTAGCTTTCAAACATTTTGAATTAAAATGGACTTAAAGGGACTAAAGACCACTTTTCATAAGTCTGTTTTTTCTCTAGTAGTGAACTTGTGTGACAAAACCAGTCACTACAGCACTGTGAATTAATATATTAATATATTTTGCCTAAGTGTGTGTCTATTGAATAATCAAATGAAGTCTGTAAACCTGCACAACTCAAAGATTTGTATTTGAACAGCAACCCCCAAAACTATTTTTAAAGCAAGGGGATGTTCTGTAGGGCTGCTGCAGATCATAACTGACATATTTTCTTTTTATCATAAGTGTTTGCTTCTCCTCCTGCTTTCTGTTGCTCTATTTGTTGAAATGAAGGGCTCACACCAAGGTCTTTGAGTAGAATTCTTAATGGTACTGGAGAGACAGATTCTATTTTTACTCTAGGCCTTATCAGCAGAGCTGGTCATTAAATTAATTAGTCATTTACATAGCAACCCTGTCACTTGCTCAATTATTACATCTGTCTTCATCTGACTTGAGATGACATTTGGAGAATGGATCATTAAAATGAATTACTTACTGTACATAGCCACCCATTGTGTGTGGGGAGAACAGGGTTAGGATTAGAGCCATCAAAGATAGTTAGGACAATTGTCCAGGGCTGCAAGCTACAAAGAGCACAGAATATGAGAAAAAGAATACTGTACATGTACAAATGTAATAGAACTGGCGCACTACTGCAGCTGTTCATAACCTTTAAAAGTCATACTGAAAATTCTCTCTCTTCTTTCATCTACAGGGCCACACAGCATATCCTGTAGTATAAGGTGAAGCTCATTACTAAACCATCTATCCATGTTCGAACCACAGTACAATACAGGGCCATGAGGGAGACAGAACCAGACCTGACAAGCAACAGGCACAAGATGAGATACACCCTGGGTGGTCTGCCAGTCCATTGCAGGGGACACACACACACAGACACAAACACTCACACTCACACCAAGGCCAATTTCATAGAAGCCAATTAACTTCCAAATACACCATTGGACAGCAGGAGGAAACCCACACAAACACACGACTACTGCTTTTTCTTACGTCTCCTGGGAGCAGAAGCACCTAGAACGTACAGTGTTTACTAACAGAGAAAGAAGCTGAAACAACTCTCCCAGCACTGCAAGTTTTCTGTACCTTTGAACAATTAGTTCAGCTTGTATTTTATGAGTGCAAAGAAGCACTGAAAGTGATCAGTGATGTAGATGAAGTGGTATTTTAACCTCTTTAATTAATGCTGCAAAATAAAACAAAGAACTTTACGAGCAAAGAAAAGAATATTGCTCTTGTGCCTGGGAAAGTGATCTGTGTCCTGGGCACTTTGACAGATTTCCAAATCAAATCTGGCTTCAATTTGCCGTGTGAGGGCTTTTGGAGTCACGTTTCTTCAAGTAATGGGGCTCAAACAACTGCAAGACTTCATTTTCTTGTGTTTAACTGTTAATCGTGGAGCAGCAACCATTGAATGCCAGGTTACTTAATTAAGTTTCCCCACCTCGTGGGACCACTACCTCATTGGCAGGCTCTCTAATTGAGTTTGGAAATGTATCACAGTCTTTTCACTTCCTTCAAAGAGAGGAGAGTGAAAGTGAGACATGGTCAAAATCAATTCGCCTTTTGTGTCTTCGGTAAACTTATTTCTGGAATTTTTCCTTGAAGGAGTTACTTGTAAACGTGAGAAAAATATGAATCTAGTCAAGTCAAGTTCAGGTACTTCAGGTAGGTGACTGAAAAAAAAGTGTTCCTCTGAGATGCATCCTGTTACAGTGGTTGTGATATCTGTTAGCCACTCACATCTTGAAAGTTCACATCTCAGAAAAACGTTTGCAGTTCTCTGCAAATGGATTAATTGCTCTTTCACCAGGACTGTGCCAGAGAATAAACAAAGCATGTGCCAAAACTCATGTGCCACAACTGCGTACTCCTTGTGTTAATGTATTTTATTTTAATTATTTTATTGCCCACTTTCTATTATCTATACCCCCTATCTGTAACAATAGCAAAATTATGACGTTTTTTTTTTCAGTTTCTGCACATAAATATATCATTTAAAAGGTTCCTTCCCACATCATAAGAAAGCCACTTATTCCTGGTAATGCCCAGAGTCTTTTCTGCAAGTATAGGGCACTTGCCCGGAGACACTCATTCATACACAGATAAATCAAAGACATAAATGAATCTCTAGGAGGTGGGAGGAAACCAGGGAGCTCAGAAAAAAACCTTTTTGAAAACGTCTCCCTCTAAACCAAAATTTAATTGCTTGTCTATGTGAAGCGAGACAGGCTATCAGTGACCTGATTGATCTTCTACTTTAATCTGACCTGACATAAAGATACAGTAGATAGGATGAAGAAAGGAGTTATCCCGATGGCAAGCTATTGCGTATCTCCAAAAAATAATAAATTCAATTAGACTAGCATTTGAATTGTTAAATCCCCATATATCAACTGATGCACATGCTATCATCTGTGAATTGAGCCCTTTGTCATTACATTTCCTGAGCGACTGTTGAAGAATTGTGGCAGGTGGCAGCAAAACTCCTTGCTGAACACCAGAGGGCGTGCAGTGCACTAGAAAAGGCCTTGTTGTTCCAAACTCAAATAAGACCTAATAACTTGCTTATGTTCAGTCCCCCCACAAGTAATTTCCAGAAAACAGACTGCAGCTTTAGGTGTTAATTGTTACCTGTAACCCTGGATTTTTTTCTCTCTGTGTAGCATATGAATACATACCATGGCCTGGTGTGTTACGTATAGTAACATTCTCTGCTTCTTGAGATGAGGAATGACAGGTAACGAACCTGGCTTAGCTTTTCTACAAGGACTTCGGTGATAAATCCTCACTTTCTGATATTTCCCTCATTGCAATGTAACAGAAGCAGATATACTGTTGCCAAATGAAAGCACTGACATTTAATACTGTTAGGAAACAATAAAAGTTTTTATATCTGATCTGTAACTTAAGAGTCCATGGTGCAGAAAAAAAGCCCCATAACAGAAGTCTTCCTGGGGCAAAATAAATCGAGGGCTTCTGTATAAAGGAGTGGGGAAGATAATGCCCTCAGTCAGGATTTCAGATGGATGGATATCGGAGGTATCGTCTGACTGGCTTCTTGAAGCTTGGTTTCTTTTTCTACGTTTAGGGCACATGCTTTCTTCAATGTGGGCTTAGCCAGTTCTTCAGTCTCTTGGGTCCAATCACATTGGAAAAGGCAATAGACAGTCACTGTTTGGTTGTGTGATGGTGGGGTGCATGTAGAAAAGAAATACAATGCCAGTTTCTTTTTTGGATCATGAAGAAGCGTGCTTTTGTGGAGTCTTATGACAAAACAGATCTCCAGTGAAAGAGCGATGCTTCCATCTAGAGGACAAGGCGAATATTGAAACCTCACCGCCGACCAAACCTGAAAAAAGGCTTTCATAAAAAAACAAAAGTCTCAGACCTTTACACAGATATCTGGGAGGATCTGGAGTAAACTGCTTAAACACATTGCGGCTAGCTTCTTTCAAAAAAAGCCTGAATGATCCTTTGATCAATGACCTACCCGTAATCACATGAGCTAGCCTAGATAAATAGCCCCATTTCGATTATAAACCTTCTTATGTTATATTCGCTGTATGCTGTAACTATGGCAGTCATAATTACAGCAGCTTTGCGACAGTGTAGTAATAATTAAAGAAACAAAACTTATAGTTCACTGTTTAATAGCTTTACAGTTATTTTTAAAGATATACCCCGGCACGGCTTACACCTGAATTTCTGTCGGCATAAAACTTTTAACTGTCGCACATGCGCACTGTGGGATATGACAGGAAACAAAAGGGGAACGTGGCTGGTGTTTAAAGGGGAAACCTCACATTGAAAATAACACACTACAGTGGAGAAAATGATAAGTACAAAAATAGCACAAACACATCTGTAACAAACGAATAACACCGGTAAGCATGGTCTTAAGCATTTTTATTGTAAAGTGCATTTTACATAAGGTTCCTGATTTTTTCCGTGGCGTTGGGAAATTAAAATGTCTGTTTTAGCTGTGGTCGAGCACGGCACAGTGGATTCTAAAAGCGAAAGACATTTTACTGGGAACTTGTGCGTTACAGCAAACAGCAAACTCGAAGTGGTGGGGAATTAAGGCCATCTATAATCTATCTGCTCTTTAGTTAAGCCATTTTTGTGTTTTCACACAATACTAAAATCGGTCAAGTTGAAGAAAGTGTGCTTTGCACTACGAATTTTATTTTTTAATTTAAAAGCCGAATAGAGTGGACAAAAATGTTGATGACATAACTATTTCAGCTTGAAACCACGTAAAGTGTTTATGATTATTAGCCATGAAGGGTGATAATCTTAGAATATCTTCATTTGCCTGGTACAGTATAATATCATAATTTAAGACTATCCTGCATGGTGCAACATTGTAGTCATACAGAGATTAAGGAAACAGGCTGCCTTCTGTTAGAATGTTGCTTAATGGAAAAAAAAACATCTGTTCTCGCGGAACCGATTTCTTTTAGCACAAGATATTTTGTAGAATAGCATCTGCATTTAAGGGGACTTTGCCGAGTGTTTTTTTTTAATCAACTGCACCCAATTCACAACTTCGGTCAAAAAGCCCAGGCTCACGCTGAAACTAAACTCATGAAGGAAAAGCGTTGTTTTCTGGGCACTTTTCTTGATAAAGACAGAAAAAAAACTAGTAATCGAATCCGCTATGGCGCGACCTGGAAATAGCTCCAGGAGAAGTTCTCCATTGCTCACTTTTCTGTGAAAGGCGTTTATCGACTCATCTTCGTCTGTCTGCTGATTCTCCATGCTTTCTCCCCCCTCAGGTGTTAAAGTGATGAGCTAGGTATGCTTCATGCTTAAACTCTGCACCCACCAAACAAGCAGAGCACTTTTCAGCACACTGCTGCTCAAACTCTTCCAGAATCAGGCTTCTGCCAGCGAATCCGTTCAGTCCTTCAACTTCCACCGGAGTGCCACGTGTGCGGCCTATAGCTCCCGGTCCCAGGCCTTCCTCGGCAAGCCTTGGCACGCCTGTGCCCGGACCCCAGCGTCTCGAGCTTTCCACCTGTCCTGGTCCCCGTGTGGCGGCGGCGGCGAGCGCGAGGCCATGCCCGAGCAACGGTACTGCGTGGAGTACGCCAAGCGCGGCACAGCCGGCTGCAAGAAGTGCAAGGAGAAGATCGTCAAGGGGCTGGTGCGCATCGGCAAGATCGTGCCCAACCCCTTCAGCGAGTCCGCGGGCGACATGAAGGAGTGGTACCACGTCAAGTGCATGTTCGAGAAGCTGGAGCGCGCCCGGATCACCACCCGGAGGATCGAGGACATAACGGACCTGGAGGGCTGGGAGGAGGTGCAGGATGAGGATAAGGAGCTCATCAACAAGCACATTGCAGGTGGAGGGGGGGGGGGTGCTTCTGTTTCAGTTAGTCAATGTGGGAATGGGAGTTCTGAATCCATGACACTGGCTCCCCAGTCCTGCTGGTCCTGATTCTGGACCGCGGGTTGCCCAAGTCTCTTCAGAGCCGTGATTCCCAATGCTGGCCCTGGAGAAACACTGTCTCGTCTGTTTTCCTTCTTGTAGTTGAGTTATTAAGCACCGGCTAATTGATTTCAGTTTTCTAATGGTTCGTGTTAGAAACATTTCCTCTCAGCTCTTAGAAGGACCAATGGGATTTACAATTGGTATTGGCCTGGAATGTAACCAATTGGACATCTGCAAAATCTTAATTTATGTGTGTCTGATACAGTGCCACTCCCACCTGTGGGTGTGTCTGATACAGTGCCACTCCTACCTAAGTCTGTTCATTGCCGGGTGATGAATTTGTAAGAGCTGTTTACTCTAAGATAAAGGAAAGGTTATGTGTGTAAGTTCTATATGATGATACAGTACCCTTGACACTCAGGACTGACCTAAACAAGTAAAAACAAGCAAGAATAAGTCAGCATTTAACATTTGAGAGCTCAGCTGGACTGACATATAGGATCATATAGTGTTCCTCCAGGACCAAGACTGGGAACCACAGCCTTAGAGCAGCAGCTGAAGAGCCAGGAGAAGATGCTAAACTGGTCTAATAAAGACAAGAATCTTCTGATTTAGGTTATTATGAGCTCAGCTGTAGTGAAAACCTATAGACACACCGACCCTTCAGGACCAAGATTGGGAACCAGTGTGCTTTTATATGACTGAAAAAGAAAAAAAGTTGGGAACCATTAATTCTTGAGATGGATAATGCTTAAGAAGACAGCAGGCAAAACACTTATTCATGAATCATTCTCACAGATTTTACCATGAGAATGTTTATTAAAATTAATCTGGAAACATATCTTTCTGTTATGTATTGTCCACTTATTCTTTAGGAATTTTGAAATTGGGATTTATTGTAACTCTTATGTTGCTATGCGTAATTAAAAATGTATTTCTTAAAGGGGCAGGGTACAAACTAACAGGACAGTGTTTTTTGTGTGTGGTTGCTTGGCTAGATCTGGCTGCGAAGACTAACCACAGCCCTAAGAAGAAGGTTCAGACTGGCCTGGCTGACCTGTCCCCTGTGACGCCACGCAAGTTCTCTGGATTCACTGGTAAGAAGGTGCTGCCGCTCTCTCAGCCTTCTTCATTGTCACAGTTTGCTCTTTCCTGTCCTGTACTGTAGCCAACTGAAAGCCACGAGCAGCAGGAAGAAATAGTCAAAGTTTCTCCAATCTGCCTAAGTCAACCTTTTTTAGAGCACAGTTTTAATCAGTTGATGTGTAAACTGAAGTAAAGAGAACAGGCAAAATGATCCACTAAAAGATCACGTGACATCGCGGGAGTATTTCCAGTTAATAAAAATGGGTATGAGTGCGATGGACTGGCGTCCTGTCCAGGGTGTATCCTGCCTTGTGTCTATTGCCTTCTGGGATTGGCTCCAGCTACCCCATGGCCTTGGATGGTATTGGTTAGGATGGTTAGAAACTGGATGACTGGTCATTTCTTCTGCGCCCATGGGTAACCCTGTCGATTGTGACTGACAGCCGCCAAGCCTGGCACCTCCAGCTCTCCTGGGGGCTCCAGCAGCCTGTCGGCCCAGCTGTCTGACCCCAGCCACAAGGACTGCCTGTTGCGGGAGTTCCGCAAGCTGTGCGCCATGGTGGCGGAGAAGGCCAGTTACAACGTCAAGACGCAGATAATCCAGGACTTCCTGAAGAAGGGCTCCAGTGGGGGTGAGTGCCCGCCCGTGAACAAAGGGTCAGTTAATACAGGCTAATGTTGCATTCGGCAGCTCACGTCAGCAAAGTCTCAGGCTGATCGTAGGTAAAAATTGTCGTGCCTTTGTCTTCCGCATGAAGGAGAACTCATTTAAAATAATTCAGGTGGGTAGCTGCGTTGGCATGTGTACGCTGTGAAGGAACAAGTTATAGGTTTATTCCATGCTGAAAAGAGAAGAAAACACAATGTTTCGGCTGTGGAGCCCTCTTCAGATGTCATACCTGAAGAACCCACCTGAAGAAGGCTCCATGGCCGAAACAATGTGTTTTCTTCTCTTTTCAGCATGGAATCAAACTATTACTTGTTCATTTAAAATAATTCAGCTTGTGACCATTTGAAAATCATCGCCAGACGTAAACGTTTTTACAGTTTTCTGTTGCTTGCAGGCTATATGCAAAACACGTAACACTCTGAAGCTCAAAGTGATAAAATCACACACAGTTTGATTTTAACCATTGTGCATTGACGCTTAGAAATCGAGGGTTTTACTTTATCTTATTAAAACAGCAATTCGCTGTTTCAGAACACCATTGATGCTTTGAGTCGAAAAGAAAGGCCTGTGGTTTTATTGAGTTGCTCAGTGTTTATGCAGTTTTTAAGTGTAGAATACAGAATTTTCATCCTTAATTTATGCAGAACAGTGAACAGACCCCTTCCGTTTTTGAATCCAGGTGACGGCAGGCCTGGGCACAGTTGTTCATACTCCGAGACCCCACCCCTGGAAAAGGCGGCTGCCCCAGTATTAACCCCCTTGTATCTGTGTTCCCGCCCCCCGGCTCGTTGCAGACGGTTTCCGCGGGGACCTGTACCTGACCGTGAAGCTGCTGCTCCCGGGGGTGATCAAGAGCGTGTACAACCTGAACGACAAGCAGATCGTCAAGCTGTTCAGCCGCATCTTCAACAGCAGCCAGGACGACATGGTGCGGGACCTCGAGCAGGTCAGGCCCTCCTCCTCCTCCTCCTCCTCGTGTCTCCGCCACTCCGCCTGCACGCTGATCTCGGCAGCAGGCCCTGGATTGGGAGGCACTGGCGAAAATATTTTATCAGGAAAAACGGGAAGATTTGTGCTCTGTGTCGAGCAGTTGTTTTCGAAACAAGATACGGGGCTTGCTGATCTTCCACAGAACTAGATCCTGGGTAAACGGAATAGAAGGGGGGAGGATTTATTCTGCTGTGGAAAAGATTTTCAGTGAGTTTTGCAAATGCTTCACCAAATTCAGCACAGACCTTTTGTATTGCGGTACAGTTTCTGATATGTATTAGCGTTATATACTGTTTTTCGCTTCTTACATGAGATACAAACTGAGAAAAAAGTCATTTGTGCTGTACAGTATTTCTGCTCCAGCCTTTCTTAGTATGCGCTTGAAATGCAGTCTTAATTTGTTACATTTTGGTGTATTGATTTCTATGTCAGATGAAGCATTCATGTTATTTCAGTGTTAACACATTTTAAATAAAATATGTAGAGTAAAACTGAAGGATGATTAGTTTCTAAGAGCATTATGCTTTGAAGTATGTAGCCTGATGTAGCCAGCATTTTCAAACTTAATCTGTATTTTCCCAACATGCATTATAATACTTCTCAAACCTGTTAGTGGTAACTTATTTTGCTAGTTATTATACCTGTATACACTTGATGTATGAGTAAATAATGATGAAATTGCAGCTTGCTTGTCCTTTGCTTCAATTTAAACCCTCTGAGGTGTGGAAGGACATAATAAAAATAAAAATAATAAAAGCAGATTTCAAATCCAAACACCTGCGTGAGAGGTTGAACAGTGCTTCAAGGTCAAGTGATGTTTGTGGCTTGTCTGTAAGCCCTTTTTGCTCCCCTTTTATCCCAAACCAAACTGTAACATCCCTGACATCTCTGTTGCAATTTAAAAAAAATGTAATATTGTTTTTTTCTCTTCTTGGTGAACAGGGTGATGTCTCGGAGACAGTGCGGATATTTTTTGAGGCAAGCAAATCTTTCCCCCCAGCGGCCAAGAGTTTGCTGACAATCCAGGAGGTGGATGGCTTCCTGACCCGCATGTCATGGCTGACCAGAGAGGACGAGCAGCAGAAAGCGCTGGAGGAGATATCAAAAAAGTAAGATGCTGTCAAGAAGTTAGCTGGTCTCTGGCTTACTTCTTTTTGACAGAGTCACAGTTGTCTGCAGCATTGTTATCATGTATTCCAATCTCATAAAACCTTAGGATCTCTTATACGGTTGTATGTGGCAGCACTGGGACGGGAGAACTTTTAAAGGTTGCTGCTGTATGGTATTGGAGGCAAGGCGCTGTGCTTCAGAAGAGATGATAAACTCAGGCAGTGATTAGGTCATCAAGTGTATGCAGCAGTGTGGAGCAGTGATCAAGGTTGTGGGTTCACATCCCAGGTGAGACTGGTGTTGTGCTTCACCTGAATCGTTCCAGTAAAGTATTCTGCTATATACGAGGGTGCAATTATAATTCTCTTTGGATAAAAGTGCCAGCCAAAAAAATATAATAAATTATGTGAGGATCAGGTCAGTACTGGGATGGGTGGTTGAAAGAGAAGGAATTAGGAATTGGAAGGAATATTCAAAAACATGCTCTGACGTGGTGTTTTGCTGCCGTAAAATGACTGAATTCATTTTTATAGTGTCTCCTATCCAGATTGTGATAAAACCCAAGTGTGGTTTATAGGAGGGAGCTATGTGATGACGTTCTTGTTTTTGTTCTAGGTCTACAGCTAACGACCTGAAGTGTATCATTAGGCTCATCAAACACGACTTGAAAATGAATGCCGGTGCCAAACATGTGTAAGTGTTTTTGAAAAAAACACGTGAAGTGTCAAAACAAAATTGAAACTTGCATTTAACTTTAAAGTTCTTCACAAATAGCTTTGTTGTTCCACAGTTTGCTCTGTTTGTTTATTTTTTTTCTTCCTAAGAAACAATAGAAGATAATTAGTGGGAAAGAACTCACGTATTTCTTTATTTTCCATTAGGAGTGATTAAAGGAATCTTCAGTCGTTAGAATTAAGTCATTGTAGTATGTCAGTTTAGTGCATTAGACCGCTTGAAATATCCTTTATGGCTTCTAAAGATTTTAGTAAGAATATGCAAACATTCTCCAAGTTACTTACAAGGTCTTAATATAATATGATATTTGCAGCATAGCAGAGCTATTAACTTAGCAAATACAATAAAAGAAATTTAATGAAGCTGAACACATTTTAAAGATCTTTATATTTACACAAAGCTGCTGTAAATGCTGTTCAGTAAGTGCCATACAAAACCAGCTGTGAAGGAAGATTACAACCACAATTAGTTTTTCTCGTTTGCACATACCATTTTAATAAAAAGTACAAATGTCAGATAGAATGAGCTTTGTGACTTTAAAACCTGTAGCGGCAGTCAACTGGCAGAACCCAGTGTAAACTGAAAAGGCTAAATGACTAAGTAAATGCCCAACAGTTTTTAATTATTTTTTTGGGGGGGTTTCTTAACATTTTTCAAAAACATGCAGGAGATAACTAGGGTCAAGTCTTTCAGACTGAATACAAGGCATTCAGAGAAAGTTGTTTTCCTCCTTAAGTAAGTCTGCGTGTTTTTTTTTATATTTTGAAAGCTTTCAACCCAAGTATGGACATGAATATTGCAATATTACAATGTAGTTAGAGCCTTTGAAGGGTGTTTAGAACATCCATCCACCCATCCAGGCTTTTTTCAGAAGCCAGTTAACCTGCTTTTGGACTGTGAGAGGAAACCCACTCAAACGCAGAGAGAACATGCAAACTCCATGCAGAAAGCAACCTCTGGCCCAGATCTGAACAGCATTGCAAGGCAACAATGCTAACCACTGTGCCACCCTGCTTCCCCCTTCTGAGAATATGAACCGCACCTAACTGTAACTGCAAAGACATAATTCTTTGTGTTTTTATGCGTCTTGCGTATAAAGAGCGTGTTTCTTGTCCCTGTACAGCCTGGATGCTGTGGATCCCAATGCCTACGATGCCTTCAAGGCCTCGCGGAACCTCGCCGATGTCATCGAGAGGGTGCTCCGCAACCAGCAGGACTCGGCCAATGGCTCCGGCCCCAGGAAGACCCTGAGCGTAGAAGCCTCCCTCATGACCCCCGTGCAGCCCATGCTGGTGAGTAGCCCACACCAGACAGCCTGCAGCGATTGAGGCGCTTTGACAATGTGCTGCATGTATTCCAAAACCAGGTTCCCCGAGCTGCCTACAGTATGAGCTCGGTGTTCGCAAGGATCCGGTATCTTGAAGTCTCCACTAACGGTGAATTTGCTAGCACGGGACTTAATACGCTGTGACTGTGAAACAAGCATTTACAAGATTAAAAATGCAGCTGGTGTAGATCGGCTTTAAGACTGACTGAACTGGGGCTCTCCGGGTTCAAGGCGGTAAGGAGCCAGTTCAGCGTTGCATCGAAGGGGAGGGGGATAGCTTGTTTTGAAGATGGTGTGCTGTGTCGCTCGCAGGCAGAGGCATGCAAGTCCGTGGAGTACGCCATGAAGAAGTGCCCCAATGGGATGTACTCCGAGATCAAGTACGACGGGGAGAGGGTGCAGGTCCACAAGAACGGAGACCACTTCAGCTACTTCAGTCGCAGCCTCAAGCCTGTGCTGCCACACAAGGTGAGGGGCCGCACAGAGAGACCGGCCTTCCTGAGGAATCACAGCTGAGATCAGTGCTGAATGGCACCTCAGACCAACTTCTACCGTTCTTTAAGATTTCAGATTTCCATATTGTATCCACCTAAACCATGTTTACTATTCCATGAGTTTATTTAACTCAATCTAGTTCTTGTTTGGAAATATTTACTGTCCGAGGTTTTATTTTTGACCAGTCTTATTTATTCCAAATACTGGATCTAACTGTAAAGACACAATTCTTTGTTTTTTATCTGTCTTGTATATAAAGAGCTAGTTTTAAAGTTAATTTTCTTGCACGTTGCATTTTTAAAAAACGTCTAAATTATGTTTAGACATGGGCTAACCACTAACCACTCCATCTCTGATGCCTCTTTGTTTAGGTGGCCCATTTCAAAGAGTATATTCCCCAGGCTTTTCCTGGAGGCCACAGCATGATTCTGGATGCGGAGGTATTGCTGATTGATACCAAAACCAGCAAACCCTTGCCCTTCGGGACCCTGGGGGTACACAAGGTGGGGATCCCTATCTTACACCATGTACTAGTATGGTTTCAGCTTGCACCTGAGTGAAGCATTGCTGTCAGGTCTACTGAAGACAGACGTCACTCCTCCATTTAACTAAAAATCACCATCTGAAATCCCGTCACATCCAGGTCAAATGGTTTAATACCTTGTGTTTTTTTTATCTTGACTTAAGATTAAGTAAGTGGGAAGTAAAAGTGAAAACCTGATCATTTTCAGCAGCTCTCCTAATTGACCACAGCAACCTAGGAGAGACAATTAAGAGAGTCCAGATGTAGAACTGAAAATAGTCCAGTTGTCTTAGTGAAGAAATCACAGGCACCTCTATGAAATGAGAGAATAATGGATTGGGAAATAGGAAGAAGTAGTTTCCTAGATCAGCACGTTTTCTGAAATATACGAAGTTGATTCCTTTTAAACTTGTTAGATTTCAATATTCTACAATTCTGGTACAGTATGACCTGGAGAAAATGACCGGTTCTCTTTGATTTTAGCAGCACCTGCTGCTGAAATGCTGAAACAAGGAGGCTCAGCTCACCCGATCTCTTTCTGACCTCATTTGGTGTCTGCTCTGTGGGCTGTTTCTGTGGCGCTTTTACGGAAAGTGTTCAGCATAGACTCTAAATCTTCACACTCGTGTCACTTGTATGAATTACATGGTTTTTCTTCTAAGGGCTCCAATGTTTTCATTTCAGAAAGCGGCCTTCCAAGATGCCAAGGTCTGCTTGTTTGTGTTTGACTGTATTTACTTCAATGGAGTGAGTCTCATGGAGAGGTATGTTTATTTTTATCATCTCAAAAATGTTTTCCAGAAAGTAGAATCCAATCTACAAGTGAACTAGAAATTCAGAACATATATTTTTTAAATTAAGAATACAAATTAGAACAAAAGTTGCTCAAATTCCTCTTTAGTTAGAAACATTCAGATGTGTAAAGCAAGGCTGAGCTCTTCTGTACTGAGATGCCACTCTTCCTTCTGCACTGGACTTTCACACCAGTGCCCCAGTGTGGTAACCAGGACCTGCTGCAGAAGCTGTCATCCTTTGAATAGCACACTAAACCAAGGTCCTGACTACATGGTCATGAAATAGTTCATGGCCCACTGCAAGAGTAGTGGTGCTAACCCTGGTGTCCTGGCTAAATTCTCTTCTGGGTTTCTCCTGTCTGTCCTTTTCAAAGTTCCCCTTTAATTCAGTGAAGAATATTCTGTCTTCCACATGATCTTCTCTATTTTGCTGGTGCCGCAAAATAAAAAAAAGTGCCGCACTTAAAGAAGTGCTTTGCCATCCATTCAGATGAAAAGAGCATTATTATTATTAGTTTCTGTGATTTATCTTATGTGGTTTTTAGTTTATTGTGAGAAATTTAAAAATAAAATTTAAAAATGCTTTTTACTTCCAGCAGTATTCGTAAATCAGTGTACCTTAATTTCGGTTGTAAATGCATTTTTCTCCTGAATGATGGATGAATTTGAATTTGCGATCTTTGAATAATGTTTTTAGTTTTTTTTTCTCATGGTATTATAGATGTACAGTAGGAAGCAGGCTGCACTTTATTTTAATTTCATGCCTTTTCTGGCTGGATGTGTTTTCCAGGCCACTGTGTGAGCGAAAGAAATTCCTCCAAGATAATATGGTTGAGGTCCCCAACAGGATCCTCCTCTCCGAAATGAAGCACGTCACTGTAAGTGAATACGTCTTTAAAAAATTCAGAGGTATCCCCAGAGGTGGGGGATATTGAAGCAAATAGCTTCTTTGGAAAAGCCCACAACCAGAGTGTAGGAGTTGGACAACCTGCTGTTGTAAAGGGACCTGCTGTGTGCTTGCAGCAACGTTTTTAATTTCCTGGCTGGTACGAGCTTGAGCTTGCAGTGCAAAAAAATTAACAGCTCATTAAGAAGGCTGCTCAGCCTTGTGATGACATTAATGTTCCTCTGTCAGTGCGGGAGTGCAGTAAAGTGTGAGAGAAAAAGAGAAATTGGTGATCCTGAAACATTGGATAAGGGATCACACTAAGTAATTCCTTGTTGGTACACAGGGTACATTACATATTGTAGATGCACACTTTTTGGAGCACTAAATGAGAACAACCTCTGCAGTTAATACTGAAAATGCCTGCATACACTGGACAAAACTATATGTCTACCTTTAATGATACACTAACAAATCCTGTTTTTTTGGCTTGCTGTGGAGTTTAAGCTTAGTCATAGGTGTGTGCACACCCTTAGAAAATGCTCTGAACATTTACAGACATTGTCATAAACATCATTCTTGGACAAAGCAGAATGTGTCATATGTTGCTCCCTTTGGTAAAATGCAGTAAAAAATGTTGTTCTTTGCCTTTCTTTTTGTGTTTACTTGTGGTATTCTTTGTTTGCAGAAAGCAGCTGACCTGGCAGATATGATCACCCGCGTGATCAGAGAGGGGTTGGAGGGCCTGGTGCTGAAAGATTTGAAGGTCAGTCTTTTTTAAAAGGTGCTGAACTGCTGTAGAGTAAAAGTCTCTCCAAGCATCTTACATATGAATAATATACAGTGTTGCAAAGACAGAATGACTTCAGTAGCAAGACATTGCTGTCTCCAGAATCAAATTTTCCTTTTCTTTTGAAAACACTTAAGACCTCATATTACATCTTGTCCTAGAGGAGGTTCGATTATAAATGGCTAAAAGCTGATGTGTGAAAGATAATGCTGAGCACCATGTGTGGTAGCCTGTGGTTACCTGTGATGGTTGTGTTCATTATGAAACAGAAGATTTTCTGCTTTCAGTTACACAGTGTAACTGTTTACATCCACATTTAAAACAACTTTAAAAAATACACCCCAAAATGTATTATGTAGAAACAATTCCTTTTAATACTTAAACTTGTGCAATAATGTTTAATGCTGTGCAAAAGTGTAAGTATTTAATGTGGACATTTCAGGAAACATTATGCAGGTGCCTGCGTTGAAAGTGTTTGTTTCTCTGTGTCATTCAGAGCCACTATGAGCCAGGAAAGCGCCACTGGCTGAAGGTGAAGAAGGATTATCTGAACGAAGGGGCCATGGCCGACACTGCAGACCTGGTGGTTTTGGGGGCGTACTACGGGAAAGGGTCAAATGGTCAGGATGCATGAAATCACTATCTCCTTGAGGGGTTACATGGTGGTGTGGTGGTTTGCACTGTTTCGCCATTTTCCCTGGGTGCTCCAGTTCTCTCCCACACTGCAGCACATGCAGGCTGGATCTCCTAAGTGCTCCCGTGTGTTTGTCCATGAAGAGCTGTGGTTCTGTCCATGTTGGATTCCTCCATTATACTCTGGGCTTCCAGGATAGGCTCCAATTTGTCCCAGCCCTTATGACAGATGTACGGCAGGAAAAATCCCCTTGAAATAACCTTTTTTGCCATGAACTTATTATTTCTTAATCAAACAATAAAGTGCTTGTATTATTGTGATGTACTATTCAGTTCCAATAGAATATATTGATGTATTTCATGAAGTTGAATGACTAAGTTTAAGAATGACGTATTCCTGATGTTATTTACTAGTTTGAATTGCTTGTTCTAGCCTTCATCCTGAAACGGGGTCTTGGTCAGGATGCGTGTGAACTGTTACTGCACCTGGGCTTGTCTTTGCATTTGCAGGTGGGATGATGTCTAGTTTCCTCATGGGCTGCTATGACCCGGAGTCGAAGCAGTGGTGCACCGTGACTAAGTGTTCTGGCGGGTACGACGATGCCACACTGGCGAGGCTGCAGAATGAGCTGGATGTGGTCAAAATCAGCAAGGTACACGCACAAAGGTGCACAACACCTGAGCAGAACGGAGGCCTGGGGCCTGAGGCTTATTCTCATAGCATCTCATTCTGTCTGGTGCAGTTCCTGCCAAAACAGAATCAGGCAGCATGCATACAGAGAAGAGTCCGTGGGGGAAATCCAGATCCCTTTAATGCACCTGTCTTTATTTTCCAAAACACAATTGATTGCAGTTTCTGAAGTGGGCGTTGCAAGTTTCTGCTTTAAACCTTTGTTCAGGAGGAATTTGGTCTTCTCGATTGTTACTTGTTTGCAACTCCACTCCCTCAGGCGTGCTGTGGCCTTTCTTTGGAGTGAATCAGAGATTGTTATTTCAGCTGTTTTTGGAGTTGGCAAAACAATGAGTTTGTCTGAAAAATGTGTTTATTAGATGTGACTTTCCCTAAAAGAGCAGCATCCAATTACTGTGAGACATAACAAAGGCTGCACAACCAAGTAGGCTTTTTAAACTCAGTTCAAATCAGTTATATAATATGATTAGGTTCACAAAAGTCAGATGCGTAACATTGAAATAACGTTGTTTATCTTTACTTAAAAAATGAAAATGAGAAATTCTTATGTGCAGAGACTAAAACAAAAATGTATAAAGTAAGCGCATTGTCTTTTTCTGTTCATGTGCTGCCTGTATGTTATCGGTTTATTAAAATGTGAAGAATTTCTTTTTTGCTTACAGGATCCAAGCAAAATCCCCAGCTGGCTGAAAATCAACAAGATCTACCACCCTGATTTTATTGCCCGAGATCCAGAAGTGAGTTTCTAGTGTCGTGTGAAAACTATTAAAAAAATAATAGAACATATTATTATAATAATAAAAATAATACAAACAGAAATCCAGGCCGAACGATCGGTTTTCCAGCTTAACCTGACAAATTTGGTTTTGTGAAAGTCCTAGGTTTGTGTAACGCAGTTTTTGGCAAGTTTATAATGACAAAAGTGTTGTCTGCTCTTGCATAGTTGTGGACAGTGATCATGTGAAATCTTTTTTCCAGAAGAGCAGTGTGTACTTGGTGAAATAAAGATTAATGCTTAAATATGATGACTGTGATCGCTGTGGTGAAAACCGAGTGCTGGTGAGGCCCAGGCCTGGCAGCAAGGCTGATCCAGTCCGTGTGCGTGCGCGTGTCACTGACCTCGCTCTGTGTCCTGGCAGAAAGCGCCGGTGTGGGAGATCACCGGCGCGGAGTTCTCCAAGGCCGAGGCCCACACCGCGGATGGCATCTCCATCCGTTTCCCCCGCTGCACCCGTATCCGTGACGACAAGGACTGGCAGACGGCCACCAACCTGCCCCAGCTGAGGGTACGCTGCCCGTTTCACTCTGCTTCCCCCAGCTCGCGTCCTGGCTGCTGCATGTGCTCAGCGCCGCACGCCAATCAAGAGAGTAAAGACCTGGAGCGCCTCAGTGCGTGAATCACCTTAATAGTTTTCCCACGCAGGTGGAACCTCCATTCTCTGTTGTAACATTTCCTTTTTCGCTTTCCCTGTGCGGAAGGAGCTGTTTCGGATATCGAAGGAGCGGTGCGATTTTGAGTTGACTGCCGGGCTCTCCAAGTTCAGCAGCGATAAGGGCTCCTCGGGGGGAGACAGCGGGAGTAACTCCCCGTCCTCGACTCCGCGCAGGCCGTCCACCCCCAGCAAGCCCAGCACAGCCAGTGAGTGACGAGCTGTCGGCCTTCACCACAGTCGCCAGGCCGCCACGGCCATCAGCAGGGTCCAGGCTGATCTTATAACAAGTCTCTGGAACTTCTGTCTAATGATGTATAGTTATTACACCAAGCAATTCAAATTTAGTGTTCAGATCTTGTACCGTTGACCTGCAGGACGGTGGCTGTGGATGTGTCGTACTTGTGTTGCATTGTTTAAGAGAAAGTGCTGCTCAGCATTAGTTTGAATTATCTTTTCCTCACTGCAGCTTGGAACAAACTGAGCTCTGTTTGGCTTTAATTCATTGCAACATCAAGCTAGTCTGATTCCCTGGGTGTTTTAAAAGCACAATGGGAGTTAAGGAAGCCAGCTGGGGGATTTCATACCTCCTTCATCCTCGGTCTGGTGGCAGGTGTTCTGCAAGCCCTGATTTTCCTTTGAAATGTTCATTTTGTGCAGAAGATTTACAATATGTATAAACGCCTGTGAAAAACGCCTATATAATTGTTGTGTATGTCCAGAAACAACAAAAAATGGTTGTTTAGCATATCCCCTGGTACTATCTACAGGCAGTAGCAGTGCCTCCAAAGCCTCCTGCCTGCCCAAGACTGAGACGCCTTCTCCAGGAAAGGCTGTGAAGAGGAGACTGCCAGCAGATGAGCATGGTGGGAAAAAAGTAAGTCCCGCCCCCAGTCCTTTTCCACACACCATTACTTTTCATGTGCTGCTTGCAAGCATGACTCCTTGGGGACCTGCTTAGAAGAAGCAGGAGTCAGAACCATTCAGCAGAGGGCTATATTCCCTCACGGAGAAAGTATTGACAGCTGTTAGTGAAACTATTGGAACGTCCGTATCCCCAGTTAGAACAAAACTGATCTTTTCTAGAAGAACTCTAAATATTTCCTTAGAGGTTTCTCTGTGAAGAAGTATCTTTGAAATCTGTGATCCTTGCCAAAAACTCAGCATAGGTTTTTTCCTCTGCTTTAGAAGTCACTCCTTTCTGTTTAAAGCTTGTTCCATCATTTTGTCGTTTTGCCACATCAAAATGTTTCCTAGCAGAAAAAGGCCGAAGCTGTGCACAGTAACGGGGAGAGCAAACTGAAAACGGTTTCTTCTCAACCAGCAGAGCCCAAGCAAGACAAGGTTAGTATTTCTCTGACCTTTGTTTTGGGAAGCTTATATCATTCCTTATACTGTTACGGTTGCAGTGTGCTAAATTCACAGCCTCAATAGATAGCCTCAAAGCTCCACTTTGCCATGTTAAACACATAACGGCTTGTCTAGTCTTCTGATGCTTCCACATCTAGTTCATTCCGTCTCTATTAATAAGGCATGTGCATCCTGCGGTGAAAGGGGAAGCATCAGAAATTCCAAACCTGTGAAGGACAAAAGCTGTTTGTTTCTGGGGGTGTGTCATCATTCCACAAAGCATGGCTTTCACATGATGTTGGCAGGTCGAAATGAAATTTGAACAGTGACGTTTCTGCTCCGTTAGACGCTGCTGGACATATTCACTGGTGTGAAGCTGTACCTTCCTGAGACCGTCCAGGATTACGGCAAGCTCCGGCGCTACTTCATCGCTTACGACGGAGACCTCGTCCCGAAGTATGATGTCGCCACAGCAACGCACGCCATCGGAGATCTGGAAGAAGAGAGCCAGGCCAAGCGCGTGTCCGCGGAGTGGATCTGGAAGTGCATACGAAAACGGAGGGTTGTCCCTCCGTGCTGAAGTTCCAGGAGCTCAGAGCAGTGGCACACTCACAGCACAGCTGCAGACTTACAGGGGACCGGGGGTACCATGTGTGAACACTATTCCGCAGAGACGTTTGCATGATGAAGGCACAGTAAATCCATTCGTATAGGCATGAGAAATTGTAAAAATAGCATAGTTTAGGTTTGGACAGTTACATTTGCCAGACAAATAGATGAAATGTCTTGCATTCACAAGTAAAGATCATATGACCGCTTACAAATTTCCAGCAGTGTTTATATGAAAATGGTGAATACCGGATGATTTATGATTCTTAGGTGGGGAACATGCTGTGTGGTATGTTGTGATTTGCATACTTTTGACTTTTTTAACATTTTAACTACATTTACTCACTGTTTTGCATATCAAAATGCTTATGTCACAGCACTGTATTTAGTACAGTGCCCATTAACTTTGCATACGTGCATATTAACTTGTCTGTTACTGTTTTCAGTTGAAGCAGAGGTGGTAATAGGTAGCTGTACATATAGCTCACCATATTCCATGAAGTTTCTTGTGTGCCAAAATGAAAAATAAGATAATGACTCTTAAATCATACCAGAATCAGTTGTCTAGACACATTTTATTGAACAACTGTAACATTTTTAAATAATATTCTTTGCTCCTAGGATAAATCATTGAAACCAGCAAAGTTAGGCTATGAAATTTGGTAGGTCTTTCAAATCTCCTGTATATTTGTTTAACATTTCCTTGTTCTTTCTTTACAGAACCCTATAAGCTCTCATTTATACTTTGGTTACCACTACTACTTCACAGAATAAGCTTGGTAAAACTCCAGAATCACAAGACTAAGTTTTTTTAAATTGAAAAGTTACTGATTTACATAAAGAAAAGAGTTGTTGCTGTATAAACTTATCAGAAAAAATGTGTATGAACATAGAATGTCGGGGTTGAAGAACATAGTACAGATTAGCAACTATGCTTTATGTTTAGATTATTTGGAAAAATGTATTTTTGTTTCTTGTCAGGGTGGCGATTTGAAGTTTGGTCAGTGTCTCAAAGTAAAAAAAAAATTGGAAAAAAATCAGAATCCTGTTTTTTTAACCTGAGTAAAATGTTTTGCTGTGATATAAATCATTTCTTGCATTTCCTCAACTGGTTCACACTTGCTTGTGATTCCGAAGAAATCTTCAGGTTCTTGCTTGTAATGCTTGTAAGTGAAGGAAAAGCGAGCAATGGGACAAACCTATATACTTCATAAATGGCTGTAATTGAGCATCTGCCGCTGGGAGAAAAGTTTGCACACTTGGGTATCTAGGGTTAAGGGTTATGCCTGTGGGTTAAGTGCATGCCTTTGCACAGATGAGAAGCTCACTATCTTGCTGGAGCTGGAACTCTTCTCCAGAAGATAGTAGAAGGTTAAAAGCCATCCCTGCCCTAATGTTGCAAGGGAGTTAGCTGGGTTAAGTTTGTTTTAAGCAACACCCACAGAGCAGTCTGGTGGGCACTGAAAGTGAAGACCGGGAGCGGTGAATCCTGGCTCTGGAAGACCCCCGGTTTTGTTTCAACTGAGCTTAATCTCAAACTCGTTTATTACAATTTTCTGTTTGAGACCCTTTTTAAAAAAAAATGCTTTCAGGTCCTAGGAAGCTCTATTAGCCCTGTGCTAATTAGTGAGTTTCCATACTGCCCTCATGGGGCTGTGCTAGCTGAAATAGCTAACTGTACTTAATAATAAGTGAAAATAGAAGAAAACAAAATGACTCTTTCTCACCTGTCTGTGCATTATAACATGGTCTCCTACTAAGAGTGGTTTAGCTAGAAATAGGAAATAAAATTAATTAGCGAGTTGAGGAGAAACTGCATAAAGTTCTGTGTGCTAGTGTTCCTGGAAATAATGCATTTTAACAAGGGTCTTTTTCACAACCAAGGTCTGAGTGCAGAAAAAAGTCTCAACCAGCAAACAGATGGGTTATACGTCTCAATTAGTGCTGGTGATTAAGGGTCCATTTGGAACAAAAGAACTAGCTAGCAGGTATTCAGAACAAGGACTGAGAGCCACTGGCCTAAGATGCTCATTGAAAAAATCTAAGCTTATGTTGCACTTTTGTGGGTAAATCGTTCTTTTTAAATTTATTGTGGGGCTGCATGCCAGGAGCGGGGTTTCTGGCCGCTGCCTGAGACAAACACCACTTCGCTACTCATACTGCAGGTCTGCAACGTGCTCTCTGATGAAGGACATCAAGTGGGGAACGCTGGAGTAATAGCCCATAAAATTGCCTTCGCCGCATTTATCATTCCTGCCAAAACTGACAATGCCAACCTGGTAAAGAGAGAACAACCATGAAACAGGAGGAGGACACCGCTGTGTCCCGAGGAACAAAACCTCAGGACTGTCACCCTCGGTTAAATACATTCACCGCCCGCAGCGTTTAAAATCTGGAGTGATTGTTCTGGTTTCTTTGCCACTGTCATACAATCCGTTAAAGCACAGAGAAGAAACATGTTTCTCTAGGTTAAAAGATGATGTAGCTCTACACATACTTCTTTATCATAGTCTTATTACTCAACTGGAACTGTAAACAGAAAGCTTAACAGTCCTGTAGTGGAAAAATTGAGGCAGATGTAAAAGTGCACGCACTACAAAGTTTTCAGTCTTCCGTTCAGTCTCCTTACTAAATTCTGGAAATGTTCAAGCCTTTCACTGTATTTTTTTCTTCTGTTATTCAAGCAAAACATCATTAATGAGAACGGTAACAACACGCCGTGTTATACTGTAGAAATTGCAGAGATGAAACTGCAGTATCAGATAATGCTGAATTGCTTAGTTCTCTCCCTCTAATGCGACTGCATGTCTCCTGTTGCCTTTCAAAAATTTACCATCAAATTACCATCAAATTGCCCAATTTCTATTTAACAGTACTGGCAAACTTTGCATAGCTGGTTAATGATGGGGTTAAGGGAATAAATAGCCAAAGTCTGATAGACCATGTCGATATTTAAAACCGGACAATGCTGTGGAATAAATGAAAAGAGAATTTCAGTGAGATCGGTTAGTAGGATTATTAGAGCGTGAGAATGAGTGATGGAGGTGATTTTCACGGAAGAGAAAAATTAAACCTGTCAGGCATGCAGACAGCGAGGCTGAGGACTCGAACGTCTATATATAAGAAGGGTGGAGAAAGAGCTTCGGAGACCAAGTTAAATCAAATAATATAATGGAGGGAGGGGAAGCCATCGATATGGCTAGCTTAATGGGAAAAAAATACTAGCATCTCCGTTAGAAATGCAGCCTAATTTAAGTATTAGGTTCAGAAGGCCTGGGCCTTGTTTTGGTTAACAAAGAAATATAGCACTGGTTTCTCAGCAGGTAGCTGGGCGCTGTAGCCCTGGTACCTCGGCAGGTGGCAGAGTATTATCCTAAAGGGGCGATGCTATACTGCATTTAACCTGAGAAGAGGTTAGGGAAGCCAGGACCAAGACCAGCCAGGTAATGGACAAGGAGACGGCTTCGTTCTTTAAAGGGCTGCAAATTTAACATCTGGTCACTGAGCCTGGTGAAACTGCAAGCAAAGGAATTAGAGATTGAACAATGAGTTAACACTCAGGTGGAGTGAATTGGGTTGCTAAAGAATCTTCCCTGCTTGGTCAACTGTTGCCACACGATCCTAGTTTTATTGGCAGCTGAAATCTCTCCTTGGAGGGGAACTATACCGACACAACTCTCAGGGGAGAGTCACACGGTCATGTAGACAGGATACCATCTCCCAGAGCACCACACAGTACGTGCACAGGTTAGGGTGAAGCTGGGTGTCCAGTCCTGGAGAACGCAGACTCCAGGGAAGGCACAGTGACTTTAGGTATAGTTTCACCAGAGCTGCACAAACTACCCTGCCTTGCGCCCGTTGTTTGCTGGGATAGGCTCCGGCTTTGGTGTGACGCTGAATCAGTTAGTAAATGGATGGCCTGATAACGACGAGGACAGGATAAAAGTGATCAAGTCTATTTTACTTCAAATAAGCAATTAACCCACCTGTATCCACTGTTCCTTTCTGTTCATAACGAGTGGTCCCCCTGAGTCCCCTAACATGAACAGAAGAGCATCGTCAGTCATTTCAAAACCAGAAAGTCAACAAGGTATGGAAACTCGTTATTGAATTTAAAAACTTTTTAAAAAGGGCCTTGATTTCCAGTACCATTATTATTTATGGATTGGCATAAATTATTTTGAACTTCCCGTATAGCATGAGGCAAAAATATAGCACAAATCTATTAATATGATAAAAACAAAGTAGTTCTTTAAACTTGATTAACAGTTGAATCATCATGGGGTTTTTTCATTAAGTGAACTATAAGAAATGAATGGGGTAATTTTTTTCAGCTCTCTTTGGAAGACAGCAGGAATATGGCAACATTAGTAAATAACAGAATCAGTCTGTTTGATGGGGATAATCATATCATCAGAATACATACACACAGTATTATGGATAACGGCTGATTGCAAAACAAATTGCACAGGAAGCATTTTCTAGATTTCTGCACCGCGTGTGGGTGCCCATCTGTCAGTAAGGTTTGGTGGCACACTCACCACGGCAAGAATCACTTTCTTCTCCCCTGGCACAGAACATGCGGTCAGTGAACACAATATTCGGCAACGAGATGCCCAGGCATTCCCTGCGGCGCTGAGGTAAAGAAGACAAGCTCATCGGGTGTCCTTTCACACTGCCTCCCAGTACATTTCCCATGCAGTGTGAGAGCCATTTTGTTATGAGGCACAACTGTGTGGAATACAGTCCCTTGGGACAGGCGAGGTAGAGAAGATTTATGTGGTGAATGGGATCTCAGCAGAACAGCCCAGTAGCTCTAGTGGCAGAGCTTCAGTCGGGCATGTACACTATGTGAGCTCATCTTCTAGTGATTGTAATGACGATGTCATTCTCCATTACACCCTGCTCACAGGATCACTGAGCACCACTCAGATTTCAGCTCCAAAATGCCCTTTAGTAAGAGAAGCTAACAAATTTGCCCACATGAGACATGTAAATGAGAATCAGATATATCATGTTTTAGGAGCCTAAAAAAGCAGAGGTCATTAAATGTCTTTCACAGAAGAATAAGTGTAGTTTAATTTAACCATCGCACCATTTCTAATCGCTTATTCCAATTTGGGGTCAAGGGAAGCCAGAGCCTATCCCAGCAAGGAACGGGCCCGGGTTCAAGATTGAACCACAGTCAATCTTGTAGCACTGCAAGGCAGAAATGCTAACCACTGTGGCGCCGTGTTGCCTGCTTATTGTAACCAAATGTTTTAATGTAAAATGTTTCAAAGCAAATCATTTGCAGTCTATACTTATTCACAGACACTGTATTAAAGCACAAGCAATTAGTTACTGGGCTTATAATTAGTAAAGGGGAGTGTTATGCATGTTAGTACAGAAGGTTCATGTTCTGCACTCTGTTTGGTAACTATGGTTACAATTGCTCTTTATAATTTTAGTTTACAGTTGCATATAATGCAATAATTGTTCGCTTTCAATCAACATTGAACAAAAATGTCATCCAGACATTTTATAAAGGCACATTACAATGACAATCGTATGCAATTTACAGCGGTTTGATTAGACAGCATCTTACACTGTCTTGCCAAAACTTTCCACCCCTGCATCAAAATGTTGCATCAAAATGAATGTGAGCTTCTCCCCCAGCCATAGAGAACAAGCATGCTAGGACATGGAGCAGGTAAACATTTATGCATCAGGGTAATGGAGATACCAAGTAGTCTTTTATGAAACCTAAGCATCATCTATCAGATATTTCCAATTTAACCGTAGCAATTTACCGCAATGCTGACGCGAGTATGTTGCAGTGAAACGCTTCCGATTCTTTTATTTTTATCATAGTATCCCCATCCTGCCACGTAGCCTGACAGAAGTCTCCCACTGTCATCGCCCCCTGCGTAGGTCAGCCTGGTCTCTGAAATGAACAAGAACAGCAGCTGCGTGACTGAGATTTCAGGAAAGACACAGCCCTTGTCCTGGGCTGCGGGTGTACAGCACAGTACCTTGGTAGCTGCAAGTCTGTGCCCAGTTCTCCATCGGCGAGGGGATCAGGTCTTGTACATCTTTGGTGCAAGGCAGGCACACCCGCCTGAGCCAAGACATTGGGAGGAGATCAGAAACTCAGTCTAATACTGCCATGCATTGTTTTGTGTTTAATTTAATGAAATATGAAGACAACACTGAGACCCTGGCTCAGCTCAAACAATGGAAGGCCGTGCTTTTGTTTTTCATTTAGTCAGCCTTTTCCTTTAAATGCACGTTATTTGCTGATGTTTGGGAGGGATACCAACGGCGTCTATCTCACCCAGCTGTACCTAATTGCCATCATAATAAAATAAGCTACAGTGTAAACACCAAACTCAAGCGCCTCCCAGCATTGCTCCTGCTCCCCATCACCTCACAGCTGCCCGTGGTCACTCTTTCTGTGGCCTGGAGGCTGCCTCTTAACCAAGAAGGACAGGCCATACCTGCCTCACCAAGTACTCCAAACACTCGCAACGCATTCAGCTCTTTGACGTTTTTGTCCACAGTGAAATATGTTTTGTATCTACTAAGGTCACAGCTTGCCTTTAACATGAGAAAACACAAAGTACACAAGCTAATGATGTCTCTCCCAGAAGGAATTTTAACTGACAAATTACTTCTTTATTTTTTGTTAGAAATGCAAAGGTTTTAATTTGTTTTTTTCAAATAACATGACTTAGTTTATAAAGACCCGTTCTGTTACCTCACTGTTTCTCGGTACTGGATGTCTTTCCTCAGCTTCAGCAAGGCAATGTCATAGTCGAAATACTTATTGTACTCTGGATGAACTATCACCTTCTCCACCATAACTTTCTCTCCTTCAATTCTTGTGTTGGATCCTAATGGGAAAACATTGAAAGTTTCTATAAAACACTGGAATGTTCCTGAGGGAATATCAAAAGGAAGTAAAAATATAAAAAGGGCTAGACGTGTTGATGTTGTTGGAAAGAATAAATTCACAGTGAATAATGTCTTAAGTCCAGACATGGAGTTAAAGTAAGCATGCAAACACAAATGCCTTGGTCAAAAAATACACAGTCCTACAGCAAATAAATCATTAAAATTGCACTGGGGTTTGAACATTAATACACAACTCCAATCCTCATGAGTGGTAGTCTGACATAACCCACAGTACTTAGAAGCAGGTTTTCTAGATTTGTTTCAATCAGAAGCATGTGAAATGTGACATTGTTCCAGTTAAGCTCAGAATGAGCTCCATTGCATCATTAACAGCTGAATGAAAATATCAACACACGGCAGCATTCTAGCAGTGGAGCTGTGTGCTACTGCTTTGAAGTTCTAAGCATTTTTATTAACATTTACGCTAGTTATCACTTTATTTTAAATTAAATAAGTTTAAGAACACATAGCAAAAATCATGGCAGAGACACACTGTACCAGTTTACTAGCAGTCGACTAGCTGAGATCAATCTATATTCTAAGCAAGTGAAAGTACATCCTTTAGAAATTGCTGTTGTCTCACTTAACGGCATGCATCGTACTTAAGATAAAAACATGTTTGCAAGGTTGGATTTGAGACTCAGGAACTGTGCTTGTCAAACTGTCCTTATTCCTCTGATTGTTAGGGAAAGAGAGTGGTGCTCACCTATTACTACATGGACTTCAGTGTCTTCTGTGGTATCACTGAAGCAGTGGGCTGCAGTTAAAATCCACCTTCGAGAAATGATGGAGCCGCCACAAGTCTCTTTATCTGTGTTTCTGGTCTGAGGTAGAAAGCAAAGGCAAAAGACATTGAAAGGGGCTGCAATCCAGAGTAACCCATGCAAGAGCATGAATGGACATTGCTGCTGTAGTTATGCCATATGTGTTGTATTTCAATCAAACCCTTGAGGATTGCTTGCACCTGTTAGGAGTGGTTGATCAATCACATCTGCCCTCCCTCTCTTACTGTTGGCATACTGTATGCATTACTTCTGTTCCTTAGGGGGAGCTTAGGTTTATGTCCCTGTGGCCACTTTGTAAAGCAAGCCTAAGTGGCAGACACACTCACCTTGCTGTTTCTGACGATGTTCACCTGCCAGGGCCAGTCTCCTTTGTTAGACTCCTTCCCTCTGAAGACGCGAAGTACCACACGCTGCGTCGGTCTGCTTTTCATCCGCACGCCGCATAGCGAGAACGCTTTGTCGTCTGCCCCAAAGAATAATATCTGTAATGGCCTTCCTCTGCAGTGCGCACCCTATACAGCTAACTGCATACTTCACAGCAGTGGTTCCCAGCAGTCCTGGTCCTGGTGACCTGCACACCTGCTGGGGTTTTTCTAGCTGAGCCCCCAGTTACATAAACAAACCTTCATTGACTTAATATCAATAATAAGATTAGTTTGAACTGTTCGTTCCCCACTCTTAAACATGTTGGAGCTTTAACTGTTGTATTTTATAAGTGAAATAAAATTGCAAACTTGTGACCAGAAACTAAATGCAAATATTACATTGAAGCAAAATCCTGGATCTAACAAAGGTGGGGTGGAGTGCAAACTAGCAGGTGTGTGGGTCACCAGGACCAGGATTGGGAACCACTGCTTCACTTTCAGGGTGATAAAAAGTTACAAAATTAGATTTCAAGAGACAAAACCCCCTTCCACTGCCGGATCTCCCTCCTCTGGCCTGAACGATCCCTTCTGTCATGGTCACTGGGTGTTGGTACCCTTACATCTCAGCCCCTGTCCTGATAGCAGCCCAGCGGAACGCTCCCCTCTCGATCAAGCAGGTTCAAGTCAAAGAATAATGGAATCATTCTTGCCCGTTCTCCCTCTACCCATTCTCTTAACACCAGTGTCTGCCTGTGTATGAGCGCAGACAGGTAAGGAAGATGTTCTTGAATTAAGAGGGCAACTTAATTAGCAGGTCGAGATAATGAAGCTGAAGAGATCTCCTCATGTCTCGAGTTAGGATACGACTGGAGCAGTGCAAATGTGTCAGTTCAATTAGGCGAAGCAAATCTAATTCATCCATCCATTTTCTAACCGCCTCTTCCAACGCAGTTGTGAGGGAGCTGGAGCCTGTCCCAGCAAGTAATGGGCACAAGGCAGGCTACTCCCTGGATGGGACGTCAGTCCTTCACAGGGCAGACAGACATAAACACACACACACTCTCACATCTGAGCCAATTTTCCCAGAAGCCAAAACTAGTATATCTCTGGATGGCAGGAGGAAACCTAAGCAAACAAAGGGAGAACATACAAACTCCTAACAGATAGCACCCTAGGCCCAGAAGTGACCCCAGAGCCCCAGCACTGCAAGGCACTAATCTAATTAAGTGCCTTAATTAGGAGCTCACTTACCTTCCCAGTCAGGCACATCGTCAACCTCTTTCAGCGAGTCATAGCTTGGTAAGACGAATGTGTACTGGCGCCCACTTTCAGGCACATGTTTCTTGGGCACGATGCGTTCCAGTTGTTCTCTCTGCACAGCACCTAGGCCTACTGCAAAAACATCTGGAGACAAAGAGGAGCAAATGTATCTAAGAGCAAGTAACGCAAAATATGACCTAAATAAAAAAAACACTGTTAAGTCTGTTAAGACAGTAGAATCTCAGTGCAACTTCACTGCTTTAAAGCATCAATTGAACTCTCAATGTCTTTACTAGTACCTCAGATATAATAAAGTGATATTTTAAAAATAAGTATTCACCCACTTGTATGTACTCACAACATGCAGCTACAACAAAATAGGTCCCAGGAAAGATCCTGGATGAATTATCATAACAAAAAAAAAACAGTCTAGCTATGAAAATATATGATTGATTAGCAAACTAATCCATTACAAAGTATCTCATATAACTCAAGAGCTATCAACCAGTATTTACAGTAGTTAATATTCCAGAAGAATCGGATCACTCCACAGTGTTAGGAAAACAGAAAGTACAAATCGTAACTGGTCTGAATGAAACATGTCCACATTGCTGAGCCCTTTTCAGAAAAACCCATCACTATAGTGTGCCTGGGTAGCTTTCATAATATGTTGTTAAATTTATAAACACATCAACATAACAGGAAAGAAAAAAAAACTAAAACAAAACCAGAAATAAACAAAATGGAAAAGCAAAGCCTTTACTTTTTAAAAAAATAAACAAAACATATTCTTCAAATAAGTAGTTCAGGTGGGTAGCTGCGTCAGCATGCGTAGGCTGCAAAGGAACAAGTAATAGGTTTATTCCATGCTGAAAAGAGAAGAAAAAAAAAAGAAAAAAAATCTTCAAATAACCTACCAAAGTAAATGTCTGCATCATGGATGTGTTCTACTATCTCCTTTATTGAATTGGGTAGGGAGAAACCTCCAAATTTTCTCCCTGACAATACCAAGCATACAATAATACAAATAATTAGATGACTGTTTTTTTACCATTTTGAAAGATCTAGATCTAACATTTAAATAAAAAATAAAATAAATCCAAAATGTTTACTTATGAAAAGGTGCTCTAGATACAACAGGTCTGTCTGTATGAAAGTGTAACACTATAAATATAAATATAAGTTATGTTTTGTAGACTCCCTGTGTTTTTAAAATGCTCAAACTTTGCACTTTCATCATAATAAGATCAATTTCACCATAATGAACTTACGTTTTGCACGTTAAGAACAAGAATCACAAATTGCTTTACCATTCCTCTTCATGCCTTAATTACTAGGATTTCACTAGATTCTATTACCAGAATCAACTTTGACCTTGCCTTTCACAATGCTCTGTGTCAAAATGACATGCTCACCCATTACAAAGAGTGTCCACTTTGCTGCTTCCTTTTCAGCAAAAATCATCTTCTTTGCCTCTGCAAGACCTTCCTCCAGGTTCGCTTCTGTGTGCTGGGAAAAGTCTGCAGCACAAACCACAGACAACTGCAAGTCACTCCATGAGGCACTTGAGCCCCCCCAAGCTACCCCTCTGGCATGGCGATGGGATAGCACTGTCGTGTGGGCTCCGCCGGGCTCCGCTGGGCTCAGACTAATCGACTTAAACTCTCCTGAGGTCACTCCACGCTTGCATTGTGTGAAACCACAAATAGCTCTGATAAGTGCACAGTTCAGAAAGAGGGGTATGCTGTCCATCCCTTCATTTTCTAACTACCTTACCCGATTCAGGGTCGGGGGCTGCCGGGGCCAATACCGGCAGGCAATAAGCACAAGATGGGACACCAATCCATCCCGGGGCAGACACACACACTCACAAGAAGGCAACTGACCTACAAGTATGTTTTTGTACCATGGGAGGAAACCCATGGAAACACAGGGAGAACATGCAGACTCCACACAGACAGCACGCCATGTCTGGAATTGAACCCAGGGCCCCGGGACTGTGTGGCAGCAATGCTGAACACTGAGCCACCCTGATACCCCCCAGGTGTGCTCACCTCAGCCCCTGTATGCTCTTATCATAAGTTTGAACCGTTAGAAGAAAAAAATTAAATGGTGATGCCAAATTTAGGAAAAAGAAAAGTCAGACATTCCGCTGCTTCTAAAGCCAGGAGCTTTCGATGAGTCACTGCTTACCATCTGAGCTTGTAGAAAAATAGCTATCACCTTTACAATCTACAGTCTGGGCCAGAAGTCTGGGCTCGTCTTTATTGGGGTCCGCAGTGATGTTTATGGTCTTCACATGAGAGTAGTCAAAGAAAAGCACTTTGACTGACACTTTCGGGACCTTCCAAATCTAGGAGAGAGGAAGAACCCTTTATAACAAAAAAGGCTAAATTTGTCACACTGGCTAAATTTAAAAAAGAAAACAAACTAAAGGAAAACATCCAATAATCGCACGGCAGAGCCTCTCTAACCCGCTTGACGAAGCTGTCAATGAACTCCAGCCCCTTCTGGAAGTTGTAACAGCCAACACTCCCAGAGGAGTCCATCAGAAAGAAGATGTGCTGTCTTCTCTGGCTCTGAGGATTCAGGTCTGCTTCAGAGGCAGGGAGCACTGAGGTCGGGGAGACAAACTGAAATTAAGAAGCTGCAGAACAAAGGTCATATTTAATTGGATAGGTAAGTTTGGATATTGCTACCATACCAATGATAATGTGTTGGTCATTTTCACTCCTTCATTATAAGAACACAGGAAAAAAGGAGTGCCCTTTGAAAGGTTTGATGGGTTAATAAACCCAGAAATGTGCTGAGTAATTATTTGCAAAAGGTGTCACCCATGTATTTAATGAGTTCCACTCCAGAGGCCCTAAATCTGATCCTGTTGTACACAAGAACATGAGAATTTAAGAAAGGCTCCAAATGAAACACCCATTTCAGCTTCAATAACAGAGCTGGGCAGTTTGTTCTAGACCCCACAACTCTTTGTGTAAACAGAGTGCTTCCTGATGTAAGTCCACAGTGCATTCCCTCTTATTTCCTGCTGTTGCCTGTGGTACATAATCCACTGTTGGTAATGAAATAGCTCAGCGATTTGACCTATAGTAAGTATTAAAATGATCAACCGGGGCATTAATGACACAGATATAAAAAAACTATTCTTACCAAATGCAGTGTATTTTCAGTTTTTTTATTTGTTCACAGTAGTACATGCACAGGATAATACAGTGTCTGACCTACTGCTTTCCTTCCTGTAGAAAGTATACAAGAGTATTGTACTTACTTGCCATTTCGATTTGAGATTTCACAATCATCATTTCACTGGCAAAGTCCTCTACATCATCAAAGGTGTATCTAGCTGTGGGCAAGTAAATGTATTAAAACCCAAAGCAGATAATAGAATCGACACAGTTTCTGAGGTCAGATTCACAGTTCATGTTCAGGCCCATGTCTGTAGGCCATAATGATCACGTCTGATGTATTTACTGATTCCTAGTTGACAAATTATTGATTCACTAAACCCTTTCTGATATCAACCTCAATGTTAAACCAAAATGATAAATAGATTACAATTAATCTGAGGTTATAAAGTTTCAGCATATACCACTGTTAAGGAACAAGTAATAGGTTAATTCCATGCTGAAAAAAAGAAGAAAGAGAACACAACGTTTCGGCCGTGGAGCCTGAACCAACATACACCACTGTTGTCTATTATATGAATCTTTTTTAAATCTTGAAGACCTGAATCTTCCCATCAGACAACATTTGAAAGCTACTTCTTTTTTTATAGTGGAGAAAACTATCTTTCCTTCTTAAGAGTTTCTAATAAAGCTCTGTGTCCTTTTTCAACAAGTACAAAGCAGTACAGTGCAGTATTCTCTATAACCTGCAAACTAATGTACAGTATACAGCTCCTGGACTTTCTGTGTATAAATAAAAATTAAATCAATAAATGTCCTTTTTAATTTGATTTGCAACAGCTCCTATATTATAACATGAACCCCCTTTTATTCACAAAACCCCCACACTTCATATTAATCCTCAGCCTACCCTGAACTGCATTTGCATTAAACTTTCCAAGCACCTTTTGAGATGAACAAACACTCCCTTATAACACAGTCTGAAGATAAACAGACTCTTCACATTTATCAAACCGATGCAGACACAGGTACTGGCACCCTGTATGTTCAGCTACTTAATTTACCAAATAATCATAACTACCACTAACTAGGATGAATGAATGATCAATAAACTTAGAAGGAGTTTCACTGACAATCACTGTCTATACATATTAAAGGGTTTGTCCTTTATAAGAGGGTGTTCCACAGAAAAACAACAACTTTTTAATCTGCCCCTGAGCTCATAGCAGAGAAAGTCTAGGTGGAAATGCATACTTTCACACGTGGGCTCCTCTCCCGACCACACGCCCGTCTGCAGACACAGGCGCTCCGACGAGCCGCGCAGCACCTGGTTACTCTGGCAACTGTATTTCACCGTGAACCCATTGCCGAAGAAGTCGCCGTATCTTGCGCCCCCAAATGGGATGCCAGGGTTTGGGCAATAGTTTTCTGCAATAGAAATGTGTACCACTTACCAAGCGTGCCCTGACTAATTCACTCTCAGTCTGTCCTGTTCCTTCCCAACATTGTAAACGCAGGGGAGTTTACTGCAAGCAGGCTCATTGTGATTGGACATATCAGGCTCGGCAGAGGCCCTTGTGCATGGACAATTAACAGCATCAATCACACTAAACCCCTCATTACTGGAACATCCATCCCTCTGTCGTCTAGCCACTTTATCCATTCCTGGGTCTCGGGGGAGCTGGAGCCTATCCTGGCGAGCCACGGGCACAAGGCAGGATACACCCTGGATTGGACACCAGACATCACAGACACTCACACCAGGGCCAGTTTACCCAGACCCAGCATGTCTTTGGATTGTCACACAAAGAGGGAACAAGAAAACTCCACACCGACATCACCCCAGGTCCAGCGGCAAGCCTAACTGCTGCTCCACTGTCTCCCACTTAAATTACTGGAATACACACTGTAACTCAGAATTCCTATCGTATTCTTGCGCTTGTAGGAGAACCACTCATTGTAAAAACTACTTTACAATGAAACCATTTTACCTATCTGGAAACATAATAATATATAATACTATCGGCATGACTAATTATATCATAGCCTTCAGTGTCCGGAATGGTACCGCTCCCGAGTGTGATAAATGGGCGATGAGCGATGCGCATTTTAGGAAAACATGCCGTTAGTGTTGATTTAAAAGTTTTGTAGGCAAAGCGTGACCGCTGTGACAGCGGGTTTAAAAATCATCCCCGAAAAAACAGAGAGAGAATGAGAGGGCAAGAAGAAGCAGCGGGCGAGAGAGTACAGAGCAGGCCGCGGCGGTCGCTGGCGCCGAGCGAGGCAGAGCAGGAAGGGGAGGGGAGGAAGAGGACGGCCCGCACCTGCGCTGTCGCACACTGGCAGCCTGCCGCTCCACTGGCCGTTGGCCAGGCAGGTGCGCCGGGCGGACCCCAGCAGCAGGAAGCCCGAGTAGCAGGAGAAGCTGACGGTGTCGTTCCAGCCGTACTTCTGGAGTATGGGAATCATGGATCCGAAGGCGGGGGCCGAGGGGGGCACACATGTGACTGCTGCAGAGGCACGGCGCAAGATCAGAGCCACAGGATTAGCTGATCTACCAAAGGGCCATCAAGATATTACATTTACTGCGCCAAGCAGCGCACTTCTAATCTTCATTTGGCCCCCTAATCTAGACAGCTCCATTGTTTATCCTCTGCAATCTTAGCATTTTCTTTGAAGCACAGTATCTCTGCTGGTTATCTAACGTCATTTAGCATTACTGATAACCATGAAATACCAAAGGATGATCGGCCTTTACAGTTCATCTGACATTTTAGAGTCCCTTTTACTTGAAGGACAGTTACCCGTTTGTTGACTTATTACAGTTTGGCTTAGGCGGTGTCCTAGAAACCTTAGAAGCACAGCAGGAACAGAAGAAATAATTTAGTGGGACCTCATTCATAGTTAATGTCTTGCACTCATGAATAACAGTCATGCATTTCGGTCTTGGTTTATGAAATCTGCGTGGTTATTGTACACAATTCTAAAAGTCTTATTTTAAAAAGTCAGTTTTCATTGGAATCTAGTTACCGTCACACCTAGTAGAAATGTAGTGGTTTTCGAGATCTGCGTCTACTTACGTCTGCAGGTAACCTTTTTGGCACTCTCTCCATAGGAGTTCCTCAGCAAGCTCCATCGCCCCCGAAAGCAAACCCTCCAGGCCACCGGATAGGCGTAGCTGCCCAGCGGACACTGGTAGTGCATCACGCTCCCGGCAACACGCTGCTCCGGCCACCGGATGGTGCCCCCCTCAACCTCCTCCTTGTCGCTACAGACTGCGTCTGCCAGACGGTTGCGGACCCTCTGGTCAGCCTTCCCTTCTGCCGCTGCTGGACCACCTGAGTCAGCCGGAGAAACGGCACCCCTGGGAGTTTGCAAGGGTGAGCCTAACGAGACAAGAGCAGTCAGAATGAGCTTTGAGAAGCGGAACACCGACAGGACAGCTCCATGGGTCCCACTGGCTCGAGTTCTGCATTACACCATCATCTGGGTCACGAGACTTGACGTGACAGGGAAGATGGCGCAGTGTAGATAGGGAGAGGTTGAATTTGTGTCTGGCTTAGCAATCTCTAAAGATTGTGGGTATTGTCCAGTGGCATTCTGGACTTTGTTCTGATAGATTTAGTCCTAAATTGATATGGTGTTTGCAGACAGTACGGTGGCACAGTGGTTAGCGGTACTATCAAATACAGGGTTGTGGGGCAGCCCATCCTTGCAAGCAAGAGTCCATCATAGGGCACACACAGACAAACACACTCACACCTGGGCCAATTTTCCTAGAAGCAAATTAACCTACCAGCCTGGGCTGTGGGAGGAAACCAGAATACCAAGAGGGAAACCCATGCAAATGGGAGGAGAACATGCAACCTCCACACAGTTAGCAACCCAGGTCTGAAATTGCACCCTAGGCCCCAGAACTGTGAGGCAACAATGCTAACCACTGCACCACCCTGATAGCCAGAGCCTATCCTTGCAAGCAGCAGTCCATCATAGGACACACACAGACACTCACACCTGGGCCAATCTACCAATTCAATCATTAATAATGATTACTGGATGAACTCATGATCTTACACAGTACTTGCTATACTTTAAAGCTAACATTGTTCAACACATAATCCCTTTTCCTGTATTTTGGATTTTACTGATCTTTATCCAGCAGCGTTGGTCGACACACAGTCCTCGTTGTGTTGTACTGTGCTGGCTGCTCAAGTAGCAGTAGTTGTATTTTGACATCTGACGTTTTTACAGCAAGCCGCTGTTATCACGGATATCTGATATCTGAAACAAGAGGCACTGCCCCTTACTAACCGTTGAGGCTCCTGTCTGTTGCTGTGATAAAACTAGTTAAAAAGTGACAAAGATAACAATCCTGAGGCAAAATACTGTATTACACAAAACATGCTTGACATACTGTAAACAGAATCATTTTCCCCAAAGAATGCTTACCTTCCAGGAGTCTCAGGTGCACCAGGATCACAACTAAAAAAACAGCAAAATCCATCTGCTAACCTACAGAAGTTGCCTGTTATCCGCCGATCACTTTCTGATCTGTTCAACACAGAGTGGAGGTTTCGCCAACACAAAGGTGTTCCAAAACGTGCTCTTGTCTCTCACGGGCCTAGACAAAAGTCAGAAAAACAAGAAGAATGAAATCCCAGCTTGTTCAAGGAAAAGAAAAATGAAATAGAACAAAAGGAAATTTAACAATACAGTACATAAAACACTGATCAATTGTGAAACAAGCTGGGTAAAGTCCAAAACAGTGGCGGTTTTCCCGGCACAGCCAGTCTGAGTTCATTGTAAACAACATGAGGTCAAAGACTCCCGACACAGAAGCAAGACTCTGCAGGCACATGTCCAATGACAGGGAACACTCTTCATCTCACTCTTTACAAGGTAAACAAACTGGCAGTTTAAGGGATTACAATATTTTTCAGCATTCCAAAGGTTAAAATGATTATTTTATTATTAAATATACAGTAATTAATGTATTTAATTCTTATTAATTAGGTAAAAAAGGCAGACAACATCATTGCAAAAACAAATGACTTGGCACGGGTGCAAGTATGTAGTGTACTGTGCACCGTGCCCAAACATACTCCGTCCTCCACACGATGTGCAGCCAAGCAGTGCTGAAAATGTACAGCAATACAAATACATTTTTATTCTGTGTCTCCTTGCTTTTACAAACCTTTTCCAAAAACAAGTCTTTTGATACAAGCCTTCTTCGGGTGTGTTGTGTTTTCTTTCTTCTCTTTTCAGCATGAAATAGACCTATTGTTCCTTTGCAAACGGTATATGCTTTATATACTGTACAGTTATCTGATAGTTTAACCAGTGAAAAGCTTATTGTGAAAAGCCAAGTTCTCAGCATGTCTTATGCCTCCAGGACCTCCAGACAGAGAACAGCTTGATCTTATGCTTGTTCTTTGTTCTTCCAATTGCATCGTAACGTAGGTTTCTTCTCACTTTCATTCTGATTTAGGGGAAGTCTCGTATTATCCAATATCAGCAAAGCCCTCCTTCCTCTCAGTGAATCACATTTGAACCATGCATGTACAGGGAGCCAGGGTAGGGTAGCTTGCTTACCCAAGTAAGTAAAAGATCAAGACCTACTTCAAGATAAGATCAAGGTTCTAAGCATGATTATTAGAATTAAAAAACATTTTTTCAAAAAAAATTACTTTAAATTCTTTGTCCCACAAACTACGTGTCAGGATTCATTCACAAGATTTTAGCTTTCATTTCTTCTGGTTATACATTAACGCTGCCCTCCATAAGTATTGGGACAGTGAAGTAAAAAAAGTTAAGATAAAAAAGAGACATACTTTAAAGTTATAGAATACCACTTTTTGTGTTCAATTCCACCATTTTAGGTGAGCTTACGTATTGGGGAAAAACTTAAACGTAAATTAAAGTAGTATAAAACTCAATAACTGCATCAATCCCGAGACCCACTGACATCACCAAGCTCCTGGTTTGTTCTGGTGAAATGCTTTGCCAAGCCTTTTCTAGAGCTATTTTTAGTTCCTGGAGAGTTTCTGACTTCAGTCTCCTTTTTAACAAATGAAACACATTTTCAATTAGATTTAAATCAGAAGGTTGACCCCCCCCCCCCCTTGATGAACTCCTTGATTGCGCTGGCAGTCAGTCTTGCTGCATGATGAAACCCCAGCCAATAAGTCTGGAGGCATTTTCTTGTAACACAGGCAGACAAGATGTTTCTGTGCACTTCTGAAGTCATTCTACTGACTCCAAACACAGACACCAAAGGGAAGAGCAAAAACTAAATCCAACACTACCCACTAATACTGTAGCTCTTTCACGTTAGTAGCAGGAAAACACCTGACCAACAAGAAACACCTGGCAGCGAATTGTCCCAATAGTTATTCTCACCTGAAATGTGGGGATTGAACACAAAAATGTTATTATTCTGCACAGCACAAAATCTAAGTACAAAATTACTCTGAAACAGAAGTGATATTCTGTACTTTTGCTTCATATTCATCTTTTCATCTGAAACCACACACAAATATATAGGACTATGTAACACAGGGCTTTTAGCGTTCCTATTCGTACAGTACAGGACTTGAATTCACATCACATCTACAACTCACATTATAATTCTCTTCCTAACTTATGTGAATGCTCTAGATTCTGGCACCAGTAGTAAATTAGTCAAGGAATGCCATTTTAAAATTGTACAATGCACTTGTAAGACCCCATTTAGAATATTATTAAAACTTTTAGTCACCGCATTATAAAAATATATTGCTTCTCTGAAATCAGTCCAAATAATCATATTCTTCCCACATTTAAAGAAATGTTAAGACAGACTACAAAAACCTGCAACATCTATAAAGAAAAGGTTGTGGAAGTCTTAAATAAGCGACCTAGCTATGTTTAGAAGTCGATATCCTGACTTACTTCACAAAAAAGCTGGATGAGATCAATTGCTACTGGCAATCAAAAGAGGTAGATCAGCCAAAAGACTTTAATCCTTTTTATTTCCTTACAGTCAGCACAGTTAAATAAATGATTCACATCCAGCGTTCCTGAACAATTAACAGACAAAAGGAGAGACAAATGATCTCCTTCAGGAGTTGGACTGTCACAGAAAAGGAATTTCCAAAAGGAACATCTTGGTGAAAATCCTGTTTCTGTTCACAATCAAGGGTGGAGGAAAGTCACAGCATTATCAGTTGTTTTTTTTTTGTGTGAGGTTCTGTGCCACTCCTGAAGCTTAGACTCGAAGCCTGAAGCCCAGACCTCAGTCAGAACATTCTTCACAAGCTTGCACAGTGCTTGCAATACATCTCCCAGTGTACCCTCCTCAGGAGTCATGCTTAAAAACATCCTCCTGCTCCCTTCGCTGCAGATGATCAGGATGGGAATCTGCAGGCTGTCCCCCAGATCCCAAGTCAAACTGCTGTTTCTGATGGCAAGGCTGCAACACACAACGACAACAACACTGTTACATCCCAGCAAATGCAGCTGACTGACAGCCTTTACTAACACTTCTCCCTGTGTCTGCATGGGTTTCCTCTGAGTGCTCTGGTTTCCTCCCAGAGTCCAAGGACTGGCTTCTGGGAAAACTGGCCCTGCTACAGTATGTAGCCTATGTGTGCCCTGCCTTGGACTGGTGTCCCGTCCAGGGTGTATCCTGCCTTGCACCTACTGCTGGGTGGTATAGGCTCCAGCATCTCAGTGACCCAGTACTGGATGAAGAGGTTGGAAAGTGGATGGATATGCGCAATATATTTTTTACATTAAATAAAGTGGTTTTCAAAATCAACTGAAACAGTGAAAGTTTCAACCAGGCTAAGTGATTAGCCTGAATTTGTACTGCAGTCTGCTTTACTGTTTACAATTCAAGGTCATTCTGAAAATAAACCCCACTGGTCTTGTCCTGTGGCTGATGAAAGCTGGCACCACTCCAGAGGCACAGGTCACCCAAAACAGGTCATTTTGCTCGTTAACTCTGTGATTAACATTGCTAAAGTTCAGTTTCAGAAAAGGATAAAGCAGTGGGGCTCGTGGTCTTTGCATCGATCATTTCATACTGGAGTGTTTGGCTCCCAGGTGTGTACTGTAGAAGAAGACTGCAGAAGTAAATAAGATCACAATAAAGGTTACAGACAGTGAGAGACCATTGGGCACATCTAGCCCATTCTGCAGTTAATTAATCAAAGGGAGCTCATCCAGCTGTTTCTTGAAAAAGATCAGGGTATCGGCCTCAACAACATGGCTGGGCTAAAATGAAAACCTCACTTAAGCAACTTGAAGATTCATGTATACAGAAGAACATTTACAAGGAGAAGCTGAATGAAGTACAAGTCAAGGAAACGTCAGCATTCTGCCTGGGATTTAAACCCATTGCCCTCTGTCTGGAGTCCAGAGCCCTAACCGCTGTGCTACACTTACACTGTCTGTACTGCACGTTTGTGAACCCACCTTTAAAGCACAGATAAAGTACGTGGCACAAAATGAAACACCTGACAAATAATAAGTTACCCCTGTAACTGAGGTTTGTCATGCTCCCCAAAATCGAGTAATTAAGCGATTTTCTTCTTCAGCAGTTCCTCCAATCTCAATGCGCTGCTTGAAATTACAGGTCAGTCAGGTGCACATTATGGTAGTCATCTATCATGCCAGTGAATTATTTTTCTCACTTGCACAACTCTTCAGCCTTCCATAACCCTCTCCTGTGTCCTTCGAAATTGCAACCTAGGACCCTGTATTTCATAAAAGGCAACAAGCTACACAATGACCACATGAAAAATATCATCCAGCAGGGCTGAGCCCAGGGGCTGAGAGGCCTCTAAGGACAACCAGAGATGCTGGTGGACCAGTAGGTGGTGCTCTTCTCCTGGGACCAGAATGTCCAAATCAGTGTCCTAATATGGTGACCAGGCATACTGTTCTGTAGGAGGTGCTGTCCCTTGCATGAGAGTTAAACACAGGTCCATGACAGATCGCATGGCACTAATCAAAAGAGTAGTGGTGTTAACCCCTGTTTCCTGGCTAAATTCTTCTCCAGGAGAAAAGTTGCCTTTAATTCAACTAATGAAGCACCCAAGTGGGTCCCGTCCTATATGAAAAGAGCTTTGGGATCCTTCAGGATGTAAAGTGCTGTATCAACGCAATAAATTGTAATAATTAATATTTCACTGCTTCCACCTGGTAGCTGGTTGCCCATTAAGGTATCCATGATAGAACAGAATTCACACAGAGAGGATCGAGAGGCAGATCTGATGTCGGCATTCAAAGGCAGTGCGAAAGCCGTACCTGTCGTGAGGACTTGAGCAGGGTCGCCCAGCGCAGTCCGCTGTGCCGCGCCTGGGGCCCGTCCACACGCTGCAGGAGCACCCGGGTGCGGGGCACATGGCTCCACGACTGCCCCAGCCCAGCTTTCAGCACCCCGTTTCCATCTCTCGTCACGTGATTGGTCACCTGGCAAAAGAACAGCATGAATCTGTACAGCACAGATCCTACTGCGCACAGCTTTCGGATGCAGCACACAGAAGGATCTCAGAGTACACGCTGTTGCAGCAAGGGATGAAATTGTGTTTTCTACTCCTGGCAAGAAATCCTACAAAGTTGCCCAATCGAGGTGCAAACCTTAAAGATTGTTAAATTATCAGTGCATGCATATCCCATCCAGAGCACCATTTTGATTTATTGCCTACATCCTTTATTGCTTTATGCCTGGAATAGTCTAGATTGCCACACCCCTTAACAAGAAAACATGGCTTTCTGCTTAACAACCATAAGGGTAATGATAATAGCTAAGGCTTTTTCCACCTGTTCTTCCACATGAAGCCCACAGTTACAGCAATGTTCGTGGATGCATTTTAGCCCTACTCACCAGAACGGCAACATTGAGATCTTTGGCTATCAACCTGAGTGCCCCTGCCACCTGCATCATGAGAGACATACCTGCAGCAGCACAGAAGCACACTGAAATAAGTCAAGGCTGAATCAGCATTCACAGTGTCAGTGGTTTCCCAGAGAGACTTCATCTGCATTCATCTGAAGACTATTCTTCATCAACTACAATCCTTATAAGATCACTACCTAGCTTCTTTATTAAAGCACTTTAGCGCAACTGATGGGTTAAGCACAGCAGATTACTGTCTGTTCTCTATTAGTCAATTTTTTTTAGTTGCAGTATGAACATAACTCCAGCACACAGCACATGGACCAGATGGGGTACGAAAGCTAAGCTGTTTTTTGAAAATGAGGGTAAGTCTGGCTGCTCCCAGGCAGAACAGAACAGATATTAGGAAACTTCCTCTCAGATTGCTGATTAATTCAAAGAATTAACAAGCTCCCTACCCTCCGTCTGCCTGCCTCCCAGCATGTGAGAGAGGACTGCAGTCACCGAGTCCACTAGAACCGCTCTGATTGGGCCATTCCTCACAGAAGCCTTAGAGGAGACAAGAAACAAAGTACTATTGGCAGGTGTTACTTGCTTCCTCAAGGCAGCTGGGAAAGAAACACCGTGGAGTTTCCTACAAGTACTATTTCTTCATCTTTTTCATGCTGGACCCTCTGTGAAATCCAAAGCATTATGTTATACAGTATAACAGCACTGAACTACTGACATGCATAGCATGGTGCAGCTGGCTATTGTAACCTGATACACAGCCTATAAAATTGGAATTTTATTCACTTCCTGCAAAACTGTAGGCATACTGTGTGAGTAATCTATGGGTAATTTGCCCAGATGGTAAATTGTGTTTTATTCGGATGTAAACATTGTTAAAAACATTTGTAAAAACTATTCAAAAAGACATGGTTTTCATTTCTCTGTTGAAATCATTTATCTGTTGCTTTAACGTGCCAACACTGGGAAACAATGAAGTATCTCTAACTGTTTAAAAGGATAGATTGGGAAGGTACACAGCACGTCTTTGAATGTCTCGGATAAACCCACTGATGTAAAAACTAGTGTCAGTGTGCTTTCAGCTTATTGTACAAAGTCTGAATATTTCAAAAAGTTGGAAGCACAAAAAAATATTGGCATCTCTTGTTTTGGTCAAGGAGAATGTTCTTTAATACAACTAGCAATTTTAATACAGTCTGTCACAAAATGTGCAAAAGGGCTCCGTTAACACACAGTGGCGTCTGTGGACGTCATACCCTCCATGGAAAAGAAAACCTCACCTGCTCCAATCCACCACTTCTCAGACTGTGGAGAGTTTCCAGCAAGGAGAAGACATCAAACACCCGGCACACCAGGATCCTGTTCAGAGCTTCCACCTGGAACACGCACACATGCTCGAGTCAGCCTTCATCGTTATTATTCACTCAGCAGAAAACCTTTCTAAAGTAAATTATTACATAAAGTAAATACAAAATAATTCAAAGAAACAAATGCAAAAATGGCAAAAAGAGTGAGGCAGGCGCATGTTAGAAATGTCATTACGGTGCAGCACATGTCCATTGATCCATAATAACGTGCAGATAAGGAATCAATAATTACAGTTAAGAAGGACGGCTGCTGAGGAGAGTATGGGTAGCAGGTAAAAGTACACGATAATGTGAGAGAGATCACAGTTTCTTCCTTTCTGTCAGCTCAGAACACAAACAAGTACAGTATGCTTTGTGTTTAAAACGCATTAAATCAAACTAAAAATAGAAGCATCCCAAATAATAAGAGGGCTGTGATTTAAGGTAGAATAGATTTAAGCATTAAGAAAGGCAATATCTGATGTTGGAAACAGATTGATTTGCAGTTGAAGGACCGTAATTTAAAAATGTAACAGAGAGACCATGACTGAAGAGCCACAATGTAGAATACTGAATTGAAGAGACCTAGCATGGAGATGGATATGCACATATTCTATTTAGATGGATTACTCATAAAATAAATGTTTTACTCATATCAGAAACCCAGACAGGACTGTTCTACCTGCTCCTCCATATTGCTGGTCTTGGACTGCACCATCTGGAGCAGGCGAGAGGCAGACAGGCCCCCATTCGTGTCAATATATAGGACAGTCCGCTTCAGAACACAGGATATGTTCACTGCCACACCCAGGCAAACCTGATGGAGAAGGCAATGCAGTGAAAAACTAACGAGGGATTATGTGCACATGCCATGAAAAAGACAATTCACTTCCTATGCTTAATAGTGTAACTATTTACAGCTGACATATTTTACCCTGGGAATATACTCTTCCCAAATAGGCGGTAGGGCCATCAGATAGCAGGAACTGCTGGTTTGCTCTTAGCTATACTAAAAGGTCCTCCTCATCCATGCCCCAAACAAATGAGAAGTGAGGAAAGCGGGCCGTGTGCCTGTCAGAGGCTGTAGCCAGCTCACCTGTGTCTTCCCACTGCCCGGGCCCCCAGCCAGCTCTGTCACCTCCCCTGTGTACAGCCCAGCGTCCAGCAGCACGTCCAGACTGAAACAAGAGGACAGCGCAGCCACAGAAACTTGGTGAAAGATGGGCCGGAGCTGGGACTGTCCAGCGACTGTCTCATAGGGACATAAGAAAGGTAACAAACAACTGGAGACTGTTCAGACTGTGTGATTGTTAGCAGCTAATTGATTCAAGGGTCTCTTCTTAAAAGAAGCCATCGGCTCCAATAGTCCAGTGCATAGCTCAGCTATTACTCAGCAATGTTATTTTTGCGAACTCATAAGCTTATATTCATTTCTTGCTAACTGAATATATATGAGGCAATACCTTATGAAAATTGGGAGTAACAGGCTGTGCTAGATGCCAGGTGACCCCCCCTGGCATTGTCGTCTGGCTGGTATGTAACCTGGGTGAATCCCCTCGCTGTTGAAATTCTCCACTGGGTAAAAGCCGCGGAGAAAGGGCCCAGAAAGAGAAAGGGCCCCTCACCTCTCATTTCCTGTGGACAGGATCGCCATGGAGCTCAGCAGCTCCTCGTAGAGATCAGCTCCCGAGACAGGAAAGCCAGTGTGCTGAGTAAGGAGGACACGGCGTATAGCTACCAGCGCCTAAAACACAAGGGGAAGAGCCATGTAAAATGAGGTTATAAAGCCACATTGATTTTACCACGGACACGTAACACACTTAAAAAAGCAGTGATTAACCATATGTGCAGAATGGCGGTGCAGTAGTTAACATTTGCTCCAGATGTTTTTGCAGTAGGCCTAGGTGCTGTGCAGGGAGAACAACTGGAATGCATCATGCCCAAGAAACATGTGCCTGAAAGTGGGCGCCACTACACATTCGTCCTAGCAAGCTACGACTCGCTGAAAGAGGTTGACGATGTGCCTGACTAGGAAGGTAAATTAGCTCCTAATTAAGGCACTTAATTAGATAAGCAGACGGCCCAGTTGCACAGTGGTTAGCATTGTTCGTGTTCAATTCCTGGGGTGCTATTTGCCTGAGTCTTGTATGTTCTCCCCATGTTTGCGTAGTTTGCGTAGTTTTTGCTGGGTGCTTCGCTTTCCTCCCACAGTTCAAAGACAAGCTGCCAGGTTCACTGGCCCCTGGGAAAACTGGCCCTGGTGTGAGCGTGTGCACAGCTCTGCACAATTAAGCAGCACTGGCGGGAAATAAACCTGTAGGTTATAGGTTTTGAGGAGAAACATGTTTTTTCCTACCTTGTAGGATATGGAGCACTTCTGAGCAAGTTCCTCAAGTTCTGATGAGACCAGGTCTTCCACTGAATGTAAATTGTGTCAACTTAGATTCGGTTGCTAATACATATTCAAAATAAATATACTCTGTTGACTGATCCCCAAGACTATTTTAAAAAGCTTTTATCGGTCTGGACATATACAATGCATGTTTTGGTTGTTTGTGGGAGTCACAAAGATCTACCTGCTCCACTAGTATAGCTAGCACAGATACCTTAATATCAAAATGTGCTTTTTACAAGTGTAGGATCTACTTTTTCATTGCAGTATAAAATGTTTTTAAGGTTTATTAAACACGAAACAATACAAAGGAGAAAAGGCGGCCAAAAAGATCAAACAAAAAAATACAATGATACAGATAATAACAAATCTGAACACAATAAGTTAATATTTTTACATACATCAGTTGTGTTTTTTTCCTGGTTATATTCCAGGTTTTTAATGGAATTTAAACTCAATGTTGCATTTTCACCTTATTATCATTAAAGGAAGGAACATAATTATATAATTATACATACATATATATGTGTATGTGATATTTACCCATTATGAATAACAGATTAATTATAAATAAAAGTTCCTTTCCATGATACTGTACATCTTGCAAAGGACAGTATAACATAACATCAGTTAAAATGTTCCTGGCAATACTGTCTCAGTGCCCAGCCATGTGATCAATATCCTGACCTGTCCTGATCTCTTGGGTCCGCAGTGCCTGTATCACTTCTTCAGTCAAGCCGGGACACAGGCCCTCTCTGAGGAAGACCATGGCTCCTGGCAGCTGTGCATGAGTTAGAAGCCATTAAAAAGATTAATTTGTACAAATCATTAAATAGATGACACATTGCATCCACTGCAAGTTCAGAGCTGTTCCATAATATGGTTTATAAAGTGAAGCGTAAAAAAAACACAGTACCATTAGGTTATCGAAACTGTGAATATTTTTGTTAATGAAAAATCATGGCAATATTAGTACTCTTTTCAGCGAGGTTCTTGAAAAGAGAATCGACATCAGGCTAGATGCAGAACCAGATTCACAGCGCTGGTAGTTTCAAACTTCCCATGTGCCACAGGCGGAGAGGGGAATGCTTTCTGAAATGCAGGCTCGTACTACTGTACCGTGAATATAAACTCGTAACTTTAAATTGTCTAAAGCTGTTTGCAGAGTGGGTCAAGGGATGTTGTTTTGCGAAGCACAAAAGATTGAGCGTGGTCTGTCTGCTTTCCTTACCAACTGGGCAACGTCCGGCTTCGCGCTTCACCCTCTAGCAGAGAAAAGAGAGTTTCCCTCCCAGAAGAATTCAGGTTTTAATGGCAGTTTAGTGTGCTAATGCCTTTAGCGCTTTAATTCCCTGTGTCGATGTCAGTACCAGTTAAGTCGACATGCCCTCCTAAGCGTTTCTCCTGCTTGAAAGTGAGAGTTTGACGTCATCCCGGAAAGAAAAACTCCGTAAACAAGAGGGGCGTGTGTAATCGACTAAAGCGGCGCGGGTTTGGCGTAGCGGTGCGGGGGACGACGACAAGGGACGATTCCTACGTAGAGTCCGCAGGGGCGTTTCGCGAATAGGGCCGGAGATGGCGTACGCCTGCGCAGTGGCGACGAAGCCGTCAGCTCGGTAAATAGAGGCAAGGCTCGGCAGGCAGTAGGTGCGAGAAGAGTAAAAACAACATCCTTGAGTAATAAAGGAAAGTGAACTGGGAACCGAGGCTGGCAGGGACGGGCAGATAATGGGACAGGAGGCAAGCGGCCCTTCCAGTGCTATAAGCTCCGACTGTCCCGTGAGGCCGAAATTTACTCTCCGGATCTAATATCGACTCGCAAGCCGCGGCTCACAAGGAAAGAAAAATGGTGAGTAATTGTCTTCATGGCAAATCAGCAATCCGCCTCCGACAGTTATTTGAGGTTGCGAGCTGTTCGCTTTGAAACGCGCTGCTCGAATAAGCCCACCAATTGGGAGGGGAGGGGGAAAAACTTTGTTTTTCCCTCCCCTCCCCACGGTTGTTGAAACGCATTAAAGGAGTAAATAAGGCCGGGCTGCTGCGTGTTCGCCAGCAAGCTGGCTGGAAGTGCAGGATGTTGTAGATAATAAATATGACGTATTTCACTGATGCACAAATAAAAACAACTGACTGTGGCGCTTTACAAATACCCGTCATAATGCCCGTCGTCGTAAATTGATCGAGAAACTTCATGGATGAACTGATACCGTGTTGTTGTTGTTTTTTGGTGGCGTCGCACTCCCTCGATAACAACCCCTAAGCGTGACATTCACATACGTGCTCATTCCTCACAGAGGAAGAAAACCATACGTGTCTTCACTGGGGTCTCCGTCTGTGTATTGACGTGTTAATGGTGATGTGCGCAGTGGTTTGACTGTGCTCACTTTTGTCTTGAGCTTTAACGTTGTTGACAGCATTGGTTGCGTCAGGGTCGCACCTTGCCGGTGTACATGAGCAGAGGTTTTTTAGATCACCTAGGATTTAAATGTAGGCAGGTACGCCACAGTTAGTGAGCAGCCTGGCCATTTTGTAGTTGTGCCTTTGTAAACGGTAGTTATCGTCAGCTGTCGGGAGACCTTTTGACCAGGTGGCGCTCAGAGGAAGTTACTGCGAGATCTGCGTGGTTTGTTTTTAGTAAACGTGGGGGGGAAATGTATTATTTAGCTTTGAATTGTCATTAGGAAGAAAATATCGCAAGACAGACTAAAAGGCAAGTCCACGGGTGTTATGACAGTTGACTTTTAATTACAGGCTCTTGACAGGAGCCAACACATCGGTGTCAGTCTTTTTTATTTACTGTGAACGAAAGACACGCGTGGAAGTTTGCACTCAGTGCCTAGTGTGTGGAAATAATGACTGTGAACGAAGGATTTTGTATTTTTTTTTTAATACAAAGCTATTTCTGTTAAAATCTTTGGCCCTCCGGTGTTGCAGTGCAAGACGGAATGACCTGTAATCTAGGAAGTACGACTGCCTGCTATTGTGTTTTACAGGTGTTATTGGGCATTTGTTTTATTGTGATGGCAGTCTTTCTTCTGTAATGCCTATACCCATTTTTTCTATTTTTCAAGGGTTCTTTTATTTCTCTATATAAAGATGTGTGGACCCGTGTCTTCATGTTCTTGCTAGTTTTAGTTGTTCTCTATTTCCTTCGTCTAGCGTACCTTTCTGCTGTAGCTTTGCCACTGTACTGACCAGACAGCTCTGCAGGGCGGTTCAGTTGCTTTTGCAGGTGAAAGCTTTCTTTTTCAAAGAATGCATTCTGTGGCTGCTTAATTGTTTTGTTTTTTTTAGCATTGTTTCCTCAGCATTTGCTTACAAATGCTTAGGAACGTCTATTAGTCTAAAGCCATCCTCCATTTGCAGAGATATGTATTCTGTTAAGAGTTAAAATAGTCTCTTCAGTACCAGATTAAGAGTCAACTTCCACTGGACAGAAAATCTGACATTTAAAGCTTCTGTGGTTTCTTCAATGTCCACCACACACTTGTATGTTCAGTCATGTAGGTGCATTTCCTTTCCTTTGAAAAGTGTTTTTTTCTTCAACAGAGCAGGCCCCTTAAGTAAATGTTTGTGCAGTGGAGCTCTGTAGGTCTTCAGTGAATTTTGTCACCATCCAGTATATCTTAACAGTAAATAGTTCATTTTAGTTGGTCCCGTCAGTTTACAATAGACAATAGTCAAAGAAGCTCTCATGTAATAACATGTAAATTAAGTGCAAATTCTGAATTTTGTGGAATCTGTCCTTGTAGGCAGTAAAGGAACAGGTTTCATTGCATGGCGAAAGGTAAAGAAATGAAGCACAAGGTTTCGACTGAGGAGCCTTCATCAGGTGTAACAGAGAGAGAGGGGAACTAGCAGATAAATAAGGCAGAGAAGAAAAGACAGAGTAGTTAAGTAGGGGCGGTTGTGAAGCAGGTGAGAACGAGTGTCCAAACTCAGTGAGAACAGGAGGAGAGGTGTGAAAAGCCGAACTCTGCAAATGGATTGAGAAGGAGATGAGTCTGTTGTTAAGAAAAGGGGAAGAAGTGGTCCATGTTTCTGGATCATTTGGGTTTCAGATGTCGTTGTGCAGTCCGAGTTCCGAAACCCCTCTGTGAGGATGCAGATAGAGCGTGGCCATTAGTGATAGAATTGGGAGCTATCGGGTTGGAAAGATCTTTGATCCTCACAAGCAGCAGTTTATTTTGCTGCTTTGCTTTGGTGAGCACTGGTGTGAACTGACTGTCTTTGTGTTTGCAGGTGTATTTGACAGGAGCAATGCTCAGCATCAATCCCCTGGAGAATCTGAAGACCTACATCAGTAGCCGGCCTCCACTGGTCATTTTTATGGTCAGTGTAAGTGCTGTGGCCATTGCCTTCCTCACTATCGGCTACTTCTTCAAAATTAAGGAGATCAAATCCCCAGAGATGACTGAGGTGGGAGGATTCCCCGTTGCTTCTTCAGTAAAACATTCATTGGCATATTTAGCAATAAATGATTCACTGTCAGTTTTATTTTAATTGGTTGCATACTCTTGTCTAAGTTCACTTGTTACTGAGCTCCTCTTGCTAAAGGTAGATGCTAGACATCTTTTCAGATGAAATAAAAGGATGTAAAAGTGGTTTGCAGGGATTCTCACTGGTTCTTTTGGCATGGGCCTGTGCCTGGGAGGACAGAACAGGGCCCAGAGCTGGGAGATTGCCAGATCAGACCCAGGCAGCGCCACTTGTACTAGCACATTCTGGCTCAAGTAATGGATTGTTTTTTTTTTCTCCTTTGGAATTCACAGAATTCTTGACGGCAATCTTAAAGAGCTTTCAAGCTGAAAGTGTCAAAAAACGGTTACAAAACCACGTTACCTCACTGATGTGATGCACACTCAAGAAACCGGCTGCAGAGTGATTTCTGTAACTAATCAGCCCCCAGATTGGCCCTTCTAGTTTTTGTTTTTCAGAACGTTAACATTTGAACCTTGGAAGTTATCAGTTATCATCCAACATTTGACAGATCCACTATACACGAATTATTCTGAGCTTTAAAAGATACATAACCTTTGAAAAAAAATGCAAAGCACTACCAGCTTTTTGTCGTTGGTGCACTTCCAGTTTGATATAGGCAAATTTGCTATGCTTATTAACGTTTGTCATTAACATAGCGGGAAGCTCGTGGAGCAGGGGTTAACATTGTTTCCTTACAGCGTTGGGGCCCTTAGTTCAATTCCTGGGGTGTTATTTCTGTGGAGTTTGTGTGAAAATAGGCCCTGGTATGAGTGTGCGTGTTTGTGTCTGGGTGTGCCCTGTGATAGACTGGCGTCCCATCCAGGGTGTATCCTGCCTTGTCCCTGTTGCTTGCCAGGATAGGCTCCAGCTCCACCGCAAACATGAATTGGATGAAGTGGTTAGGACATGGATGCATGGATTAACACATGGTGTACTCTGAAATCCACAGGCTAGTAGTATGACCACAGTCAGAAGCAATACAAGCTTGTATGTCTGTCTTGCATGTTTTGCACTATGTTGCATATACTGTCTTGTGGGATTCTGCTTCATTCCTCTTACAGCCTTAAGAACATGCCTGTTGATTGCTCTTTGTACCCTTGATGCCACATATTGTCCCAGCTTGTCCACAGATGTTCAGTCGGACTGAAGTCTGGCAAGAAGATATCCACAGCATAACTGTCACATTCTCATCTTCCAATTCTGCTGTCGCTACAAGAGAAGCATGAGAGCGTGCCTTTGTGCTGCTGGCATGTTGTCCCATCAGGGTGAGCCCACAGGATGGGCTTCAAGTGAGGTTCCCAGTCTTGATCAGTGTAACGATGTCCTGTTAGGTCATCTTCAATCAGCTGTGGCTACCTGGCGTTCCCGATGCGGCGGAATGTGAAAAAGTGACTCAGAGCGTGGAAATGTCAATCTTGGCAGAGTGTTGCGACATCTCGTATAGTTTAACTGCTAGACCTTATTTGGCTGTAACATGTTGCAATGATAGAAATTGCTGGCTTGGAGTATGCCAGTGGTGCTCCTACTTATTCCAACCCCCAGCATTCCAATGGCATAAAGATATTGTTCTCTTGATAAGCCAGGCATGTGGATTGCTTTCTGTATTGATCCAGAATGCTTGAAGTTCAACAGGTTAATTCATTTCATTACATGGCCCCAATCAGCTTTCACTAATGAGGTTGTTAATTGCTTATTCAAAGTCACTCAAGTTAGTCGTGAGTGATCAGTTAATCCAAATGACACTTGATCCATTGATTCAGTATCCAAAATCTGTCTGCTCTATTTTTCGGAAAGCATGCATGCAGAAATTGAGTATTTATTTTGATGCTCCGTATACTTTTTGCTGAGCCGGATTGTTCATTTCCACGTATGTTTAAAACCTTTTATGTGTGTATAGAAAGTGAGACGTTTTAGGAGGAAAAGCATTGATTTAAATTTAAGTTTCAAATGAAAGTAAAAATCAAAACATCATGCCCTTTAAAACTGTGACTTTCATAAAACTGTGAGAGCGTTGTTGAACTGTGATCTGCGTGGATTGAAAAGCAGGCATGCACTAGCATTTATGCCTTTTAAATTTGCAAGGACTGGAACACCTTCCTGCTGCGCTTCAACGAGCTGGATTTCTGTATCTCGGAGAACGAGACCCTGAAGCATGGGCTGAATGAGTCGACTACGCCGGAGAGCACCGTGACCAGCGGCCAGGCCCGGCTCAACACTCAGGCCCCCCCCCTGCTGGAGGACTCGGGTCCCATCAACATCTCTGTCCCCATCACCCTCACGCTTGACCCCCTGCGCCCGTTCGGGGGTTACTCCCGCAACATCACCCATCTCTACGCCACAGTGCTGGGCCAGCAGGTCGGCCTTTCAGGTGAGCCCCAGAGTGTGCACCCGTGTTAAAATACAACAGTGTACTAGGAGGATCGCGGCTAGAACTGTGTGCAGTTTTGGTTTGCACCTTACAAAAAAAAATACACTCCTGTTCTAGAATCAGGCTGAGGAAAATTGAGCAAATACATTCCTGGGCTCAAAGAAACGCCCCACCTTGACAAGCTGAAAGAACTCTTTTGGTCTTGATTACAAGATTACGAGATCTGATCCGAGTATTCAGATTCCTCAAAGGCATTAACAAAGTCAGCCCTGCAGACGTCTCCAGAATCAACAGTGAATGCAGACCAGAGGACCCAGTTGGACACTATGAAGAAGTGCTTTTAAAACTGAGACCAAGAGGCCCTTTTTTGCACAAAGGGCTTCAGGGGTCTGGAGCTAGCAGTGCTGTTAAAAGCCCATCTTCAGCTTTTTTTTTTTTTTGAGAAACTGCTGGAGGAGTTAGGTAACAAACACACTGGATGAACTGAATTGCCTCTTCTTTGTAACCTTTCTTATATTTAAGCTTTTGGTGAGTACTAAAATAATTTGGGCAATTTCATAAGCTGCTGCTTTTTTCTTGGCAGACATCTGGACTAATTGGTATTTGCAGCCTCTCGTAGTCATTTCGTGTTGTGAGTATTATTCAGTCAGACCCACAAGAAAGAAAGCATGAAGGGACAGCCATAACCCTGCACTAAAGATGGATATATTGGAGGTGTCTGCTTGGAGTGCTTTCTATCAGTGTGCTAGCCCTTGTGCCATGTGGGTCAAAAGACTGTGTGGTCAGCTGTTAAAGTGATGATCGTGGAAAGAGCTTTTAAGTCTCTGAATGGTGTTTCTGAAAGGTTCTTGGAGTGTGTGAGTTGGTGTAGTTCCCTGACAAGTTTCTCTCTTGTCTTGTCTGCTTAGGCAGGGAAGCCCATGAAGAGATGAACATCACCTTCACCCTTCCTGCGTCCTGGAATTCGGATGACTGCGTTCTGCATGGGCACTGTGAGCAGATGGTGTTCATCAGCTGCATGACCATCACAGCAGCCAGCAACGTCTTCCCAGTCACAGTGTGAGTCCTCACGGTGCTCTGCGGAGGCCGCCTGCACTCCCACGCAGACACAGCAGGCTAAGATTGTAACATATTTGGTTGGAGGCTGCATGCTTTTGCTCAAAGATCTTTTTTTTTTTTCCAAAGAAAGAAAGCTTTCCTTAAAACCCTTTTAATTACTGGCTTGTAGCCAGCTGGTACAATGTTTTATAAACCTTTCTTAGGGCACCGAACAATGCTTAGCATTCATGTGCTTTTATGCTGTTATTTATCAACCGTTTGCTAACCATGTTTGCACAGTAAATTGGCGTGGTGTGAGTGGGCGTGTCTGTCTGTGTGTGCCCTGCGATGGACTGGCGGCCCATCCAGGGTCTGCCCTGCCTTGCGCCCATTGCTTGCTGGGATAGGTCCTGGCTCTCCTGTGATCCTGCATTGGATAAAGCTGTTAGAAAATGGAAGGATGTTTAAACTCCTAATTTCCTAATCCATCAAATGCATATCTGTGTAATGGTCATCTACAAATCGGTTATCACGCTGTTTCTTTTCCTGTTTTTAAGTAATTGTTATCCTTGCTTTGCAGGCAGCCACCACACTGTGTTCCTGAGACCTACACCAATGCCACATCCTGGTACAAGATCTTCACCACAGCCAGAGACTCCAACACCAAATACTCGCAGGACTACAACCCCTTCTGGTGTTACAAAGGAGCTGTGGGCAAGGTGTATCATGCTTTAAACCCCAAGCTCACTGTCATTGTCCCAGACGTGAGTATATCAGTTTGCATTAAAGAAACACTATTTTATTCAGTGCTACACACCAGGGGGTAGACTATTAAGAGACACCAGAGCAGTATGAGCTGTTTTTGTACTGTGATTTCTAATGTTTCCCGAGGATCAAGTCCTCTCCTCGTGTTTTAACTAGTAGTTGAAGTGTTCTTGAACCACACTGAAATTATCAAAACATCCTGTAATCAGCTTTCCCTGTGCAGCAGAAAGGGCAGTGATTCAATTAGGAAAGGGGCAGCACTTGACAGTCTTACTGTTTTTTTTTTTACTGGTGCAGTCCAGTAAATAAATGAAATCTGCCCCCCTTTCAAGAAAGCTGCAGCAGTAATAACAGTGAAAACCTTCACTTTCAGTCAACTACGTTTTGGACTAGCAGAATATATTTTCCATCAGTGTCAACGTGATTAAAACCCATGCGTCTTTCTTTAAAAATTCAATTCCTTTTCAGTGTGAGGGGCCACACGTTTTATTACAGTGGTAAGCTTCTTTTATTTAATAAGATTTTGGCTGTGGCAGAAGCGCGTTATTGAATGGGAGTTTAAACAAATGGAATACTGTGTGATGAAAGTGAAGAGCTGACAACACAGTAGCTTTCTACGTGTTGTCTGATCATCAGAGTGTCAGTCAGTATTAGCTGAACATCTGGGTGAGAATGGTTAGATGACCTTGCAGTCAGTTGAATCTAGTTTATGGTTGTAGATTGATGTACATATGTAAAGCAGATAAAACTGTAGAGCATATTTTAAGTAATTAATAAGCAGCACATTGGCACAGTGGTTGGCATTGCTGCCTAACAGCACCGGGGCCCTGGGTTCAATTCCGGACCTGGGGTGCTGTCTGTTCGGAGTTTGCGTCTTCTGCCCAGTGTTCCTTTGGATTTTCTCTGGGTGCCCTGGTTTCCTTCCACAATACAAAGACGTAGTGGTAGGTTAATTGGCTCTGGTGTGAGAGTGCGTGTCTGTTTGTCCGGCAGGGGACTCTTGTCCTGTCCGGGGTCTGTGCTGCCTTGCTCCCTGAATTGCACATTAAGTGGATAGAAAATGGATGGATATTTTAATTGTTGTATATCAATATATTTGTTGTTGAAGGCATGCTAAAGTGCTTTTTATTACTCACACCCACCATAAAATATCAAATCTATATACTCGACTATAATTCCTAATATATCAAACTAATTTGCCACAAGATGTTGCAATATTCAAGCAGTCATGTCATTACATGTTGTTACTTTTTTGTAAATAAACTTTAAGTACAGGTATGTGTAGTTTATTGAACGTACTGTAAATCTGTGTTAAAAAAACATTTTTTATGTAAAGTTTTACATAATTGCATATTGATCATTATTGTAGCAAGTTAAAAGATAGTCTGTTTCTATTGGATTAGTCCCTGTTTGTATTTGCTTTTCAATCCAAAGTTTGTTTGATGCCTGCTTGAAGATGACTAGTATTGCTTTTAAGTGTATATTGTTTTGAGACTAATATACCTGAAACAAAGGCTCAGGTTTGACCATTGTCAAAATGTAAGCTTATTTATTGTCCATGACTTCCACAGTCAGTTACAAAGTTGACAGTCTTTGTGTTTTGGAAATTTTAGAGGTGCTGAATAATGTTTTAATGATTCATTTTTGTGGCAGTGAACTTCTTAAATTTGTTGCTAGAGAGGAATCACTCACTGCTTCATTCTCTGCTGCTTGTGTCATGAACTTAAGCTGTTGTCGGCTGTTCCCATAGAGCTTCAGTTCTTTATGTTTGTCTCTTCTCAGGATGATCGCTCGCTGATAAACCTGCATCTCATGCACACCAGTTACTTCCTGTTCGTGATGGTGATCACGATGTTCTGCTATGCAGTCATCAAAGGCCGGCCAGGAAAATTACGTCCGAATAGTGCAGACTTCTGCCCTGAAAAGGTAATTGCGATTAAATGTCTTCCTTGAATATTCTGCCTCTTTTGGTTTGTGCTTCTTTACGCATCAAGGACAATAAACAGTGTGGGAAGGGTTGTGACTGTGAGCTTACATGTTAATGTGAAGTATGGACTTCTGCTTTTCACTGTAACAACAGTGCATCAAGTTCCCAAGCATACGTGTGCTTTAACTTAGACAGTCTTTAACTAAGATTGTTAGCTCTGTACAGCAATATCCTGGTGCCATGAGATAAAAAAATAAAACATTTAAAACTTATATGTAGGACTTTTTTTCTCCAAATTAGGATCTTTCATCTCCTAATTTTTAACAAATTTAAAAAAACAAAAAATAGCATTATGCGGTGGTGTTCACCATACCACAGATTTGTCCAAGCGTCATTGGACTAGCTGCCTATCAAGTTTTGAGTTGACTTTGAAATCCTCATGCTCACTTATAAGGAGGCTCTACATGGCTTGGCACTTCAGCACCTGTCTGACTTAACTTCCTACTCACCATCTCTGGTTTCCTGTTTGTCCCCCAAGCCCGTCTACATGCTGTTGGTGACAGGGCATTCTCTTATTATACCCCAAACCATATCAGAGAGTCGCCTTCGCTGAGCACTTTCAAACCCAGACGTTTTCAGAAAGGCTTTGAATAAATTGATGTCTGTGTCTGCCCCTTTGCATCTTCTACGGCATTGGAAAGCTTCGGTTTTATTTGTTCAAATTCTCCTCCTTTTTTCCTTACTGTAAAACGCTGTGAGAGTCGCTCTATGAAATAAAGATTCTTCTTCTTCTTATTATTATTATTTATTATAAATCTTATACAGCTCACACGTTTTAAATGGCTGCATCAGTCGTGCTGCTGAATGGCTTCCTCTTGTTTGTAACCCTTCTTATGTAACATCTCGGAGAAATCAACTTTATCTCTAAGGTTATATTCCGATCTATAGAGTCTTTTGCACAGGCGATGTTTACAATGCACTATGAGGGTATTGCTGAAGCCTTGAAAAAGCACATTCCTCAAATGCTTTCACTCCTGTTACATAATCTTGTTATGCCTGTTTGAGAATTTCTTTTATTTAGATCTGATTTCACACTGGGCTTTGAGCCACCCTCATGCAAAGACTTTCTGAAGTTTCAAATACAAAGAAGAAGATTACCCAGGAGCTAAAATGCCTGAGGAACTGGGTATTTCCAGTGTCAGTCCAGTCCTTTTAAAAATGGACTGAGTGTAGAGGCTGAGCTCTCTATTCTGATTGGTGAAAATGTTGCACATCTTTTGACGTGACTTTCAACAAACAAGGCTGTTCTTATTATGTAGCTTCATTTGGGTGTTCTTTAATATTTAAATATTTTAATATCGCTATATGTGAATTTATCTTGGCTTCAGTAATATCACCTTTTGCTCACTCACGTGCAGTGCTTTTCCAACGTGTGGCAAGCAAAGCTCAACCTGTGAGAAAAGGCCTTGCCTTGCTTGAAAGAGCCCAGCGTGTGGAAGCAGTGAACAGGCCTTTGTACCCACGCCTTCTTTCCCCTAATCAGTTTCCAGATGTCTTGCTATGAATGAATGATGTACAGATAACACAGTCTTTTAAAAGAGGATTAAATCTTACCCCCATGATACCAGTGATAGATATATAATATCTTATGTATTTTCAGACATGCATTATTTAGAAGATTTTGTTTGACTAATGATTACCACCTAGATGTTGTTGAAGCCCATACTGTTCAACATAATGTGCTACAAAAGTGTGTTTCTTACATTTGATTTGGGGGGGGGACCTGTTTCTGATTTTAAAAGAACACTTTATATACACCCTTATCACTAAAAGTGCTGCATTTGTTTAAGAAGCTTCTACATTATTAAGGTTCATTTCCAAGTGATTCTGTTTGTCACTCATGTGAGCTTCTATAATGCTTTTAACTGTGTTAATGTTAACTGTGATATGATTGCTTTGAACTCACTAGGTCTTCTGTCTTGCTTATGAGAGTAAACTAAGTAGAAGTCAAATAAGTAGGACAAAGTGACTTCTCTTCAACGAGATGAATAACGTTGTTCCTTTTTGTTCATTCATTTTAGGTGGCTCTGTCTGAAGGATAAGAAGTATTGGAAATCTGAAATGAGAATGAACCTTAAAAAGAAAAATAATTAAAAAAAACTGATAACTGATTTTACTAGTTGCCTACTGAACCCAGACAAGGGTGAAAAGCTCTGTGAATGCATTTTTCTGCAACGTTGGGTTACTCCAACCAAAGACATTTTAAGTGCCTGTATCTACTGTGTAAATATTTGTAGGGTTCTTTAATTCAATGCAGAAGTTGTCAGCTGGTGCGCCGGTGCCATCTTTGATGAAGCCTGACTTGACGTTGGACAGCTGTGGATATTCCAGAGGTGGTGAATGGGAATTGCACTTCTACATACTTCTCTTCTTTTTTAATTGTTGTTGTCTAAAGAAACTGAGCCCTGGGAAACTGAAGAATGCATCCTGAAAAAAAATCTGGGACAGTTCTGCCCTTGCCTGATACTGAAGTTGTGCAATGTGAATATCAGGATTTGGGTTTCTCCACGACAACATTATCCAAGTTTATCCCACAGCAGCCTTTGGGTTAGAATTAATATTTACATTTTCTTTTTTTAAAGTCCTCAAACAGGAGTTTTCTGCTGTTTAATCATGTGAAGATCCTTGCTCCCTGATCCTATGAAGCTGCTCTGTGGATCAAACCGGAGCTGCAATGTTTGCTAACAGACTAGGCCTCACCCAGACAGTCTGAGTTAAGCATCCCCACCATGCAGCTAAATGCTACAAGCCTTCTGACAGACTTATAAATCAATTCAGCATGGATATCCAAACACTTCTGAACGTCTCTGAAAAAGACTGCCTGCTGAATTCTTCCCATTCGTGAGATGGGCTCAAGTCCTCCTTATAGCAAAGAAGACACAAACCTAATTTTGATCTATGTTGGTTTGATAAAAAAGTCCATATCTTTGAGAGCTTGACCTAGAAGACCATTTATTTTAATTTGAATTCCCCATACACATACAAACTGTGCTGTAAATTGTTCTTAACCTCCTGGTGCTTCCATAAAATAGTTGTGTACTGTGCAAAGATGCTTGTATGGTGCCACTTCCATAGGCAGGTTGAAAGTATAACATTGGTAACTTTTTTCGTAATAAGGTTTTGCATTAACTGTCTAGCCTGCAAGGGACTGTTGGCTTATCGCTTGGTTCCATTAAGGAAATCATTTTTTACAAATCCAAATATGACTTCAACACTGATCTAAATTTTAAACGGGTTGCTGCGTTTGATTCCAAGAAGGTGACATATTACAGCAAAAACAAGTTTGATTGAATGTACTATTCTGAGGTAGTAGCTGCAGATGATTGACACAAGCTCTTAAAGAGAAAATGTGAGAATCCAGTGTATGTGTGTCGGTTCCAGTTTAAAATATTCTAAATTTAATATTTTGAGTGAAACATTATACTTGTCCTCAATGTAGACCTTTGTGTTTTTTCATATTTGAGCTTTCTTAAACTCTTAAACTCTTAAGAATGCTGCCTGTCATTCTTTTGATGTCTCTTGCTTCTCCATAGTTTCCAGAATTAGTTAACTAAACGCCCTTTTTTTCCAAAACTTTCTTATCCTCATCAGACTATTTACTTACCTTTTATTTCTGTTAACAATATAATAATATGGAAGTAATTCTGTCATTTTGTCCAGCTGTGATACGACATTACTTTTAGAACTTACGTTAGGAACTTGAGACCTTGTTAGCTAATACAACAATCTTCTCTTGAGAAACTGGCACAGCTGCCCTGCTCTGCTCACTCCTGTGAGATGGTGTTACCCACCTGCTAGATATTTTTATATTTGCCCCCTCGCTTCTGTCATCTGTATTTTAATGAATGCTTTTGAGTGAAACTGTTAGTACATTGGAAACTGACATTTTTGTGTATGTCCCTAGGACAGGTGTCGAAGGGAGTAGTATAACACTACCTAACCAGCGTGCCTCAGTCTTCCTCCACCTGGAGACTGTATTTTTGACTCTTTGCCTTTTGTCTTGAAAGTAAGATGTTTTTTTTTTATTACACAGTCAAATGTGTCAGAACAGTTAAATTGAGTTTCCTCATTAGAGGACTGTCTTGGTTTAAAATATGTGTATCATTTTTGTCTGTATTGTCTTCTATTTGATTTACATTTATTGCAGTCCTCACAGTCAGCAATTTTTAGCTGTAAAGGTGGTTTTATCAGAAACAGTATAGGCACTTCAGATGAATTATTTTTTTTCTGCACAATCCCTTAATGGACTGTGGTAGTTTTTACTCTTAAGACATGACTGAGTGTAATTTTTAAAGCAAACATCTCTTGTGTTGTGCTATATACCATATAATTGAAGATGGTGATTTCTTTTCAAAATTAAGTTTTGGGGCAGATTCTTCTTTCCATGTTAGGTTTGGCTTTTAGCTTGCTAGACCTTTACCTCCTGCAATTTAGAGCCTTACATCGGTTAAGAAATCCAGACTAATCTAATAGGTTGTGACAAGACATCCCAGACACATTAATTTACATTTCTAGAATCTGCAGTTCTCGGAGAGTTCTGCTTCTGTTGCTGGCAGAATTTCATTTGCTTGCGATTGCTGTACGTTTGAGTGAGGATCCAGGGCTGGTGCTTGAAGTTTTTGCACCAGATTTGGGTATGATTTTAAAGAGGGGTGTCAAACTGGAGGGCCTCAGCGTCTGATAACTTTGTTGTACTTAGTTGCTTAATTAATGTTAAGTTTTTAGGATGTGTATATATATTTATTTTAACAGTTGATTACAATGCATTTGATTTAATTTTCAGTATCAGTATCCTTAGAACCTGAAACAGCACTATTATACCTATTAAGTTTATTACATAATTGGCCTCAAACCCAGACTCTCAACCCCCATCCCCATGTTTTAAAACGTAAATAAAACTTTGTGCTGGAACGGCTGTTTAAGACCAACAAACAAGTTGGCTGTGATAGTTTGTCAAACAGGTCATGTAAGGAAATTACCATAAAACAAGGTGTTGGAAGTTTTAACTTCTCTTTCAAGAGACCGTTGATGAGATGTGGGCAGAAGTTGTATCATTTATTCATGAAGTTGTGAATTGAGTGTTGCAGTTCCTTCATTTTATTAAAACAAAAATGATGTATTCCTTTAAAGTTGTACCAAGCTTTTAAGTCTAATTGTTCAAAGAGTGCCATCAGGAACCTGGCATTTGTCATTGCTTTGTTTGGGAACCAGCTGGGGTGCTGGTTTGTGCACCCTACAGCTGAGAAGCTCCAATGCCTTGCACGCTAAACAGCAATGTTCTGGCCTTGTAAATAGCCCTTTAGTTTGAAAAGTGTTTGCAAGTCAGAGAAGCTGACCGAATATCTTCCTCAATAAAACATTAATTATCCAATGTGAGAGAAATGCCTCCTTTTGTTTACCTGCTTCAAGTGTATTTATAAAAAACATTTCTCTACTACATGAAATTGGATAAACCCGTGGTTCCAGAGTGCAATATGAAAGCTGAACTTTTTGTGGGTACTTTAGTAATTACAGTAGCTCCACAAATGGGCAAAATGTTTGAAGATGCAAAATTCTACATTGCGTAAAGCTGGGCTGCTTTTTGGATGGTGTACAAGATCACAATAACTGCAAAAATTAAAAAATAATAGCAGCTTTTTAAATTTGTATGTTTTTTTCCACTTAATCTCATGCTTTATATACAAAGGTGGACAAGGTTTCTTCGATAGAAACTGCAATTTAATATTTGTTTGCTTGGATTTGATGACATGGGTGCCTGATTCTCTTAAAGATTTTTATTACATCAGTTTTAGTTCAGAAGTTTCAACTTCAGCAAATGAACTTTTAATGGAATGTTTCTTACATAGATCTTCATTTTATATCCTTTCTCTTTTCCTCCTCGGAATACACATTGCAATCAATCCAGCTCCAGGCTGCAGGAGACAGGTCTGTAATTGATAGTAATAGGCAATAGCTAACACTTTCATTCTTTGTCACAGCTTCTAATTATACAATGTCAAGAATACCTTATAGAGACGCTGTTTGCTTTCATTATTCAGATGAGTGAATATGTTCTCATTATCCAGTAACATAAACTTATGCAGAATGACCATAAGATGGAGAAAACCTATTACAAAACATACCTAGTCACTGGTGTTCAATAAGTGGATAGGACATTTTGAAACCACAGTACATGCTGTCTTAACTGGGACAATTTAAGAAAAATGCTAGTCTCTTTCTATTATTACCACTCATTCCTGATTTAAAAGCACCTTTAAAATTTAAACTTTAATGCAAATTCAGTGCATTCAAATGCAATACATTTTTCCTCTAAATCTTTTGGTCACTTTTTTTTCTTCTGTTCTCAGTTTTCCCCCATCGTTCCCACTCCCCAAAATCCACATTTCTTTTCATTGTCGCCCAAGTATAGTACTGTGTGCTCTGTCCAGCTCTCCAGTACTGCCTGTTTTCCATATGTGAACAATCAAAACAATACTTAATCAGCCTGACATGATGATCACTCAGTTATCCCAGGATAAGATAAGAGCGGGGTTTTGTACAGGAGAGCATTGAGTGTTTCATTTAAAGGTGGTGTTGATAAAAAAACAAAACCTAATGAGTAGTGGAGACATTAAAATAGACGACCCGTATGGATGTGTTGACCTTCTCCTGTTTGCATCAGCTCTGTCTGCTCAAGCAGTAAACAGCTTGAAAGCGAGAGTTTGACATCTAGAGAGGTGCTGTAAACATTAGGAGCTAAACACGACTCATTTCTAAGTCTGCAAACCTAGTTTACCACTAGCAGCCCACAATGTGATTCTTGATTCCACAGGGCTGTCATTTCAGTTTTTCCACCCTACAAGATTTGTTGAATGTGAAGTATGATTTCTGACAGCAAGATCGTTCGGTGTTACATAAGTCAAAATGATTCTAAATAACGTAAATCTTGGCATGCAGCTCACATTCAGATCACATTGATCTTTTATTTTTCTATTTTAGTTTGATTTGAATATTTGGTGTAAATGCTGTTTCACCATTGAAGGGTGTGATGGGTCGGGTGTGTTTTGCTGTGTTTATTTAGGGGAGGCCTGACCTGTGTTCTTTAAATTAATCCAGACAGGCAGAGGAAGAAGGAGTGCGAGAGAGAGAGCTCTGTCATAGTTGCTGTTTCACTTGTCTTGTTGCATGATTGTAAATGTTAATAACAGCTGATCTGTTCCAATAATGACAATCTCTCGCCGATTGGGTTTCTGTGCAGTTTGTAAAATGTGCATATGCTTTGCTGAATAAAAAAATATAGATATTCAGTGGTTCTCCCTTTTATTACCCCTTTTTTTCTGTTTTCATTGTGTGCAATCATATCATTCAGTAAAGAACTCGCATTTCTGACTTGTGAATCCTTAACAGACCTACAGAATTTGTACTTTGTGCTTGGATGGGGAAAACACTTGTTAATTCTGTGGACACTTTACACTCAAAATATAGTTATAATCTGTTTCTGTGCGTTTTTATACTGTTTTGACATATCAGTCAAGAATTATACACTGTTGGTGAAATGTGAAAGCAGCAAAAAATGAAGACAGGGACACTTAATTCAATTGAACGCTGATGAATTACACTCATTAATGTAATGCATTTCTTTGTTGTCCTTTAACCCATACCTATCTCTCCTTTCAGATTCTTATTTAGTGCATTGATGGAGAAATTAAAACTAAATGGCAACTCTATTCCTTTATTGTTCCATGAAGAATTCAGCTGGAAGGCATTAATATGTACTGAGACAGACTTCAAGTACAAATTAAATATATTTCTGTCAACAAGTGTTTCCTCCTTTAATTTAAGTATAAAATCCCTGGACATCATGGTTTTTCCAAGAGAAAGTGAAACATATTGATCTGCCATTTAGTTTGAGGCAACATTAGTGGTTTGAGTTTCTCACTAAACAGTATTCTTGTGATCTGAAAAATGAGAGGATAATTTTCCAAGTAAGCACATCCTCTGTGTATTGATGAAGTGCCTTATTCTGATGCCATGGAGATCATGTGAACCCCCATGCATTCACTCTGCTCTGCACAGGATTAGAGTTGACCTACTGAGACAAAAGAGACATAGGAAAGCCTTGTGGAAGCAGAAATTGCCAGACCATCTGAACAAGCCAATAGGAGAAGAGCCAACGTCTACCCACAGGTATCAAAATGCATCCTGAGCCACCCAGAGCCTATTATTTAGGATTTAATCATTTCCAATCACAGGTAAAAAGGGTGTGGTAAAAGACCAATAAGACAGAGGCTAAATCTAATAATAAAATGTTCTTTCAGTATTACAAATGTAAAGAAACAGGCAAGGATGAAGTTAAATCTGGGATAACAACAGAAACATGCTAGACACTGAAAAAGAAATGGCTGATATATTGTAGGACTATAACGCTCAGATGTTTACCAAGAAAGAACTCAACAGCATGTCTCAGGCAGCGGTGAATAACTTTGGCATAGAAGTGACAGACAGTTTCCGAATGTTAGAAGCACTTAAGAATTAAAAAAATAAACATGGCTGTTTACCAATTATACTTGGGGAAACGAGATGATATTCATAGGCTATCAAGACTATCACCACCATTGAAAAGATTGAAAACTGATCCAACAAATGACCAACAGTAAGTGTGACAATAACATAATATTATGGAAAGAATAAAACTAGAAGAATAAGATCCCTTGAAGACAGTCACACTTGCCTTACTTGTAAGAGTTTTTTTTAACAAACTCCAAGAGTAATGGACATACTGTAGCATTTGTTCTTGCCCTCATTTAAAATGTATGTTTTTGAATGTACTGAAAATGATTGCTGGGCAGCAGAATCTCAGACAGAGAGAAGCGGTGGTTTAAAATCATCAGAGTTCGGAATAATGACAAGAGCAGGGGGCTGTGAGCTCACAGGGAAAGTTTATGTTTTAGTCAGCTGAGCATGGCTAATTCTCTTTCCAGTCAATAAGGATTTCCAAGGCTGTCTGAACCGGTTTACCTGAGAAACAGGAGACCTGACATTCTCCCCCTCGTTTCCCGATTTTGTCAGCTGCAATGAATTATACAGCAGGCAGATCCACTCACAGGCCTGACAGCGCTGGCAATCAGAAGCACAGATTAGAAGCACCTGCATGAAGGTGTTTGCAACAACAAATACAAAGAGATTAGTAAGGTGCTATTGAAGGGCTTTATCTATTTAATTACTTCCTTGCAATACATACATTTTTTTCTCTTCATCATAAATCATTAATCTCACAGCTCGATGTGTTTTTATCTGTTCTTTGGTTCAAACACATAAGAGCAGCTGTACGCAGGTCCTTGTGAGGATTTCAGAGAAAATTGTTTGAAAAAGCAAATGTTTAAGGTCTTTATTACTATTACTCCCCTTCCTACAGCCTCAAATATTTTGTGTAATTTTGTATTTTGTATTTAAAACAACTTGAGAGATATCCCCAAATTGTATTTTTAGTTACATTGTAAGCTCATGAACGTCCTGCAGACACTTTGAATCCTCTGTTTTGTGAGCTTCCTGTAGGTCCCAAAACCTGTTGATCCTGTCTTGTTTGTTTTTTTTTAATTGTTTTCAAGTAAAGGCGACAGTTCTCATTACAGAAAGAAAGTTAAGAACAAAAAGGTACCGTAACTGGTACAAGATCAATACTCTATAAATCCATACTATAACCCCACATTTTTTTAGAGCACAGGCTGGTAAATCAGGAATGGAAATACCTATAAATGTTGAATTTCTTTCTCCAGCAGTGATGTGCTTCCAGTTTTTGCAGATGTATAAGATATAACATTCAGGAGCACTTTTTTTCTGGGTTTGAACATTCCTTGATAATGTCTTTTGTTGGCTGTGAACCAGGATATCCCATCCATGTGCAAGATTTTATTCCTGAGAGTTCCACCTAAAAGCTTAAAGATGATTCCCTTTGAACTTTGATTTCTTTTTCATTAAGGTGTTATCTATTCTTCTATGAAAACCCCCTCAGACCTCCTGCAACACCAGTGCACAAAAATATCAGGTGTGCCCAATGGCTTGCTCACAAGCCTCAAAGGCTTTAGCCCATACACATTTTTAAAAAGCACTTCACTCTAGAATTTAGTTTTGTTGTTGATATACAGTATGTGTTTTCATAGCATCCATGAAAAAAAAATCTATCGACTAATAGAACGTGGTAAATAAGGAAAGAAAAGCATGGGTATGTCTTTATTGTTACATTGTACTGTAGCGGTGATATCAAACACAATCCCCTCATTCAAACTGTTTTTTCTTTGTGTGTCAAGTGGCACAGATGTAAAGCAGACTGGAAAACGACCTTCGTAGGATTCTAGTCCCTTTTGAAGAGCAGCGCTCCAGCGAACCGCAGGTTGCTAAGGAATGGGTGAAAAAAAGAAGCCGAAGGCCACCGCGTAATTATTGCGCACCAGGGCCGCCTGGCCTCTCCAGCTGCCTTGAATGAACTGACGCACTTCAAATTTTTTGTCGGTGACAAAGTAATATAACAAGACAAAAAGGGACGAAGGGCCGGGTCAAATAAACTCAAGTTGGGTTTTTATTTTTCCCCAATTCGTCTTCCATCAGCTACAAGAGACGAGAGAGTTAAAGGTTGAAAACATAATGTGAAAAGGGCTCTCTCTTCTTTTTTGTAGGCAAGGGAGACCTGGTCACTTGTGTTTCGCAATATGACAGGCAACCATAGCGAATTATCGATGTCAGGTCGAGGAGGACTGTTTCTACTGTCATTATAAATTGGACATTTTTAGATAAACGAAACAATTCCCTTCGGGAGGCTGCGGGTGCCTTTGTTTGACGTTTGATGTGATCCATTACTGTTTTTCAGCACCACACCCCTTACTAATATGTGACCCTGTGTAATCTAATATGTGACCCTGAGTGTTGACCTTTCGTTACCTCTCGACTCGCCCTGGACAGGTGATGCCAATAAGCGAAGATGATGTTGTTGATGCTTCACGTACGACGAAATCGAGTCTTAAATAGTTTGGCTACTTGGGCATTACTGAGAGCTCCATTCAAAAAGGATCCATATGCATTATTGTCAGAAATCGCTTGTTCCTGGTAAGAGTCGTAGCGCTCGAATTATATGTTTATACTTCCTAAAAATTAGACTTCATGTTCTAATATTGTACCGGTTAAGTTCCTTAATTATTCCCCATGTATACAGTACAGATGCATTTGCTTTATAGAAGTCTAACGTTTGCATGTACGCTGCAAATTTGAAGTTTTTTCAGCAGAATCGTGGAACCGTGAGTCTAGAGTTCCATTCAAACCAAAGACCTTATCGTCATGTAAACAGATTTTTAATTTCAGAGGAGAATGAAACTTTAAAAAATGCTGAACCGTACAGAGTATCGTTAATTTCGGGGAAACATGATTCATGAATTATTTAATAGGGGTATTACATATTCAATGTAGCGTGCCGCTCTAATTTACAAATATACGAAACGCACTACCGATCAAACCGAGATTAAAGATGATCTTTTTTTTTTTTACTGAAGTACAGTTCCCAAATCTTAATGCCCAGTAGCCATGAAAACTCTGGTTGTTATGCTGTGGGAATAGCTATTGATTCCAGAGGTCCAGACCTCAAAGCAGCTGAGCATGACAGATGTTCTTGCGACGGATCCTCTGATGCACAGTGACAGCAGTAGGCTGCTCTTTTAACTCTCAGCTCAGTGTTTAGAGACCTGCCGTTTGCGCCTTTTACTTGTGTGTGGGCGCTGTTATTTTATTGCTGTTTTATTAGTATTTAAAGGGGTAGGTGGGTAGGATCGTATACAGTATATCTAAATTTAAAAACGTGCTGCATTCAGAACTGAAGCCACCGAGCCTCGGAGCTATAGCTTTTGTGTGGTGTTGCTAAGAGACTTCTGAAAGCAGAACACGTTAACCTTTTTGTGTCGAGGTAGTTAAGAGCCTGGCATTTAATATGCCAGTAAGATAAACACAGGTAACTTGGCTGGGCTACTGTAAGCATCATGGTGCGTAAAGTTACCTGTATTACTTTTTTATTATTTTTAATACAGCTTTTTCATTTATTTTTTCTCACCCAATCTAAAATACTTTGAAGGTAACTAATTGGGTTTATGCTTATAAGTTTTAAGAAAATCAATAGGTTTGTATATGTATCATTGTTTCAGAATTTCTCCTTGCAGAAGGAAAACTGATGCTTTTCTAATATTACCTTGCATTCCTCATAGGGAAGCCCATCAATTAGGGGAACTAATTTCAATCACCCTTAGAACCGTCTGTTTTTTACTTTCCAAGCAATGTATTAAACCTGCATAAAAAATACTAAAATTAGCATTACTGTTGTTGCAAGAAGTTTGCATACATACAGTAGGTGAGCGTTCTCGTTTGTGTCTGTAGCAACGAGGGTTCTGGGAAAAAGAATCACCGGACCCGTGGAACACTGTCATGTGGACTGACTTGTTCTTCACGAAATGTTCGGTTAGTTTGTATCCTTGGTGATACTGGCTCCTATGCTTTACATGTTGGTCCGGCAATGTAGGCTTTCCAATTGGTGTAGTAGTTTCTTTTTAATAATTTGGGAAATGCTTCAGGATCTGGAACTTTAAAAAACGCATCCCTTCAGCTCAAGGGTGGTTTCCCTTTCTGGAAAGAAACCCAAAAGAGGTGCTGGAGAGTTGGGTCCTGTTTTAACTCAGCTCTGAACCAGTATTGGGTCAGTAATGGCTTAATTGGATCAATTTATCAACTTTGGAGCGCTCGCCCTGCAGTCTGTGTGGGTCCTAATGTCCCAGTATGGTGACAGGTACGCTATACTGTAAAAAGGTGCCATCCTTCAAACCGAGGTCCTAACTTTCTGTGGTCATTAAAAATCCCAGGGCGTTTCTCGAAAAGAGTAGGGGTGTTACCCCGGCATTCTGGCCAAATTTAGCCCTGGCCTTTACCAATCATAGCCTCCTAATAATCCCCATCTCTGAATTGGCTTCATCACTCTGTTCTCCTCCCCACTGAGAGCTGGTGTGTGGAGAGAGTACTGGCGCATCATCCAGGTGGGGCTGCACACTGGTGGTGGAGGAGGAGAGTCCAGAGTTTCCGGAGTGTCCAGAAAAGCCCTATATAAGTGTAAGGAATCATCATTATTAAAATGTTGATTGATACTTCCTAGCAATAATGAACTTGTCCATTTAAACCACTAAACAAATATCTCCCACTACATTGCGTCATTCAGTCTTGCAGCTGATGCTGGGAAAACTAGAACAAAGACTATTTCGCTGCTTCTGGAGTTTGTTTGTTTTTTTTTTCAGAAAAGAGGGTCTGTCACTGGCTGTTGTCTGGTATTGTGAAGCTGAATCTGGTCACTCTTCAGAGCCTCATCCCCGCAGAGCACTGCCAAGACAGCAGCAGTGTTCAGCTTGGAGAAGCCTTGTGTTGTGGAGGGACTGTCAGTGGACCGGGCTGTTTGTCTCTCAGAGAGCACGTGGGGAGCACAGCTTCTGAAAAGTCAACAATGAATGACCTCAGCCTTATGCTTATCCACAAAGCCAAGATAATAAGAGGGGGAGGGTAAAAGCATTAAACTACAGTGCGGCTGTTTGCTCTGGGAAATGAGAGCTCACTTTGTTCTGGCAAAGACGACTGAGAGGATCTTTCACTGCTTCTTTGCCACAGTGACACACGGGGCTGCAAACTACGCTGTGAGGGTTATTTTTCAAACTGAGGTGCACAATACGGAAGTCCTTGTAGAATGTTTTTCTTTTTTTTTCTGGGAGGGACTTATGCAGGTGCCCTTAATGATTACAGCTGCTAAAGAAGAGTGCTTGCAGATGTGAATACGAAGGTAGGCACCACTGACTTATTTAATATTATCTCGTCTGTGACGTTCCAAATAACGGGCAGTATTTGAACACCACTGAGAGACTGTGAAACTGCAAAATGCTGGTTTAATTTAACCATAGACTTGGCTCTATACAGTTGCCAGTAATATTTATTTAAAAAGAACAGTGTTGTGAAAAAAATGTAGCTTTTTGTTGTCTCAGATTCAAATAGTTTTGGAGAGGCAGTACATTTATTCACTGAGTTTTTCCTTTCCGATTACTTCCATCTTTCCGCATGGTGGAAAGAGTATGTTTTTCCTTTAGTTTTTAGTTTAGTTTTTTTTCCTTTAATCATTGGGTTTAGCTGTCTTTGTTTTAATGAGCTGTTCTTTCAATATGTGCTGAAAATATGCAATGTGGAGCTGCAGAAGGTGTTCTTTATATATCCATCCAACATGCATTTCCTGGTAATAACGTTATAATGCACAATATTTCTTTGTGTCGAGGTTAACTCACTTTGTGCACTTTAGAACTGAATGTAGCTGAAACTTTTTTTTCCCAGTTCCATCTCTAAGCTGGGGCTTTGCTGACCCTAGCATCTGCTGGTTTTCTTCCCATTGAGGTCCTGATTGTTTAATTGACCCTTTAAGTGAACGAAATTCAATTAAGCAAACAGGGGTCTAGCTGGAAAGAAACCCAAAAGACAATGATGAGGTTCAGAATCTAGAGCCTTGTTTTAGATTATAGAACACAGAAAAATACTCTTGCTGTGTAATCTGTCTTAACACTTGCTCGACAACTTTCTGATCCTCTAAAATACTTTTTAAGGTGACAGAAGATTGCAAAAAGAATGTGTATTTGCATAAATCTTTTGCAACCTCACATCCCATACTAATGGTCACCTAATGACATGATTGATTGAAATGACCCATCTTGAGGTCATTTCATGAATGCATCCAGGTCCTGCAGGACTGCTAAACACTGGAGAGCAGTTTGCTCAGGTAGGAAGGTAAAACCATACAAATTGGAACATTAGCAGCTTCATGTATCGTCTAAACCCAGGTCAGCAGGTCGCTCTAGTGACTCACTGTCATGCCTTCTCCTGTTCAGAGCAGCAGGAGTAGGCATGCTGTGCTGACAAAGTTGATGATTCTTTCTCCCTGCAACAGCATATTTTGAAGATGCACCCTACTAAAAATGTACAGTGATGCATGGACAAGCTGAGCATCCGTAGACACAAGACTCTTCTCCATAAAACAAGAAAAGCTAAGTGCCTAGAGTATTGCAAAAATCTACATAGGCAAGCCTTTTAAGTTCTTTGACAATATTCTATGTTCTCATGAGTCATAAATTGATTAGTTTTCTAAGCAAAAGCCAAAGGTCATGTCAAGAAGAGAAGCCTACAATGAAAAGGTTATCTGCTGTACATCATGAAAAGGGATGGCTTTATCTCCAGGACTGGTAACAGCCATGGGATTTAAGGAAATATAAAGTGAGCAAAATAGAATAAAAAAGAACAGACTATAGAAGGTGGTGGGTGTCTGGAACAAACTACATAGCTGTGTGGTTGATGCTTTCATGAAACCATTGAATGAGTTGCTCAGATTAAATGTAATCAATCAAGCCAGGAAGCATGAATGTTCTCATTTTGAAGCATTCAATCAGTGTTTTATAAGCTTAATGTCTGAAGCTTCATCTGTGACTCAACTGGCATTAAGGGAGGCCACAGGAGTCATAGAAATAATCAGGAAGCAATAATAAAGTGCAAAACCAGTGTCCATTTGCTTAAGTGCTCTCAGTGCAAAACAAATATTTACAAAAGAAGAAAGCAACTCTGATTATGGAAAAACGGGCAAACTGTACTGTACCTTTCTGAGGAATTCCTCCCTAACAGGGTTTTAAGTATAGATGGTTTATTATTATTATTATTATTATTATTTATTATTAATAATAATAATAATATTTATTTATTTAGATCAGTCAAATACATATTCTTTCATTTGAATGTGTTCTGGCATGATGGAGGATTGTGAACTCGGTCAGTGACGATGATGAACGAGTGTGTGAATTGTGAACATGAAAGTCCTGGTACGAGGTCATCAGAGGAAGGCGTACAACAGAGGAGAGTATTGCCAAGACAGCCAGGTGATGTCCACAGGAGTGATCAAACTGCTGGGCTGCTCAGCCCTGTCACCTGTCCTGCAGTATTATGGTTGGGTGGGATATGTGCCAGTAAAATGCACTCGTGGTACAAGAGATAAGTATTCAAAAAAGGGAAAACATTTTCTAGGACAGATGCAAACTTCTACAGAGCCAGTGAAAGCTATAATACATCAGCCTGTTATAGAGGTAAAGGCAGAACACACTTATATTAAAATGATTAACCGTAAGGAGAGGGTTTTTGGAAGTAAAAGGAAGAAACTTAGAAAAACTCAGAGAGCATAGAAACGGCATCAATCCAAGAATTTTGTTTATTGTGGCAAAAACATCACTGACTGTTATTCAAGTCATTATTAAAAATGGTAACTAAGTTTATTTTTGGTTTGTGCTTTGCATTAAATTCAATTTCAGCTAGGTAATTATTCGAATCTGAGTTCAGCATCTCAAGTGCTCCTGATGCATAACACTGCTGCCTTCTGTACCCATGAATGTGACTCATAAGAAATGTATCAGATAACATGAACAGAGCACTGCATGGAGTATTCGTAGCAGTGTGAGGGCTCCATAATGTCCCAACATTCTCACTTTTCCTTTAAAAAATCCAGGCAGCTTCCCCTTGAGGAACAGGATGTTTCAGAAAGAATTGTTTCTAGTCACGTGAGCAGCCTGCCTGCTAGCCAGCAGACAGAATCCACTAGCTTAGCCAGAGTTCTGTAGCTCACTTTATCAGGACTTATCTGACATTATCGCTTCTTACTTGTTGTTTTCAGGTTCAGCCCAAAGCAACAGCAGTGTTTATATTCCCTCCACACTTGGAGTTTCTGAAGGTAAGCACTGCCTTTATTTCTTCTGTTTGCCTCACACACACTGGCTTTTGTGTGGTTTCTTCCTCCTTGATGACTCTTGAACTGGAGCCAAAGTCTGTTTCACGGTTTAAAGAAGAGGAATGACTGGTCAGCACACCTTTTTTTTTTGTCATGGTAACTACCATAACAGGTACAGGGTTTTTTTTTTTTTGGAATGGCAATGAAAATGAAAAGGTGGGACAGTGGAAGAATCTAATCCTGGGAAACAGAGCTGTAATGTCTGGCAGCTCGCAGGTCTCAGGTCATGTCTTTTCCAGTCTGTTAATGACATGCCACCTGACAGAAGGGCTTAAAATAAGAAAGTGAATCATGCCACAGTGAGCCTCTGCATCTTAATGTGTAAAGACCTTTTTGAACCATTTTAAATTAAATCTGTTGACAAAGCAAGTAAAGCCCCACTCCAAGAGGCATGATTCAAGAACAGAATGAAAT